AATCTGTGATAATGGCTGCCAGCCAATTGCTGCCAATGGCCGTGAGTTTGGCGGAAAATAGCGCTCTTTAGAAATTGCTAGCAAAATGGCGATCGCCATGGCAACCGCCGAAACTTTAGAATGTTTTTGGCTAGGACACGTTTGCTAAACTTCAAAAGTAACGTTTTCCCATAAATTTTTTCAACAGTGACTGCACTTACCGCTAAATAGGACGCCATTTTACTTATAACTATTTTCCGCCAAACGCTTTGCCTTTTCTCTAGAAAGTTCTTACTCTTTTACACTCGTAGAAACTTATATCGCCACATCTCTTTTTCGCCCAGTCAGTGTCAAAATATGCACGTGGTTCGCTTTGTGTCACTAATGTCAAATTTGTCACTATCTCCTGCTCGTATTTCTCAGCAGCAGAATCGCATGTTTTTTTGCTAGTATTTTAGATTTTATTTATAAGTGAATTACATAAAAATGGAAGAAAACACACCTACAGTTAGCTTAGTATCATGTATGCATTTTGTTAGGCGAGGTGTGGCTAAAGCGGTTCCCGAAAAGGCAAGTTTTAACTAAAAGATTTACCATTTACAAAAATTTTATAAAAATGCCATGTATTCATCGTTTGTTACAGATTGAACTAACGGAAAAAGAATTAGAGAAAATAATCAAACAGACCGCAAATGATTTAAGGTACTAATAATTGTGATCGCTTTGCATGAGAGTTATGTTATAAAATTTGGTATAACCTGTAAACAAAACAAAGATGGGAAGTAGGTAGAATCAACAACTTTAGAGAATTGCCAGGGCTATGGTACAATTTTAATTCGGAACACTTGTCTCGTAGTATGTATTCTTTGAAGTCTTGAATTTCATATAAGTTAATTTCTAATTTACTTTAGAAGATAATACCCTTAATTTATATTCAAATCTAGAAAGCCAGCACTACAGGGTGACGTTTTAATATGTTCTTTTCTAAAGGTACTCTACTATCATCTTACGTTTTAATTAATATTTTCAGATTAACGGAAGCCGGAGACGATGTCAGCGACGAAGAAGGCGAAAGTTCTCGCGGGCCACCAGACCCGCCCGCTAATCCAAATGATGAATTTGACTTTGAGCACTATGACCAGGACGACACAAGTAAATTACTTAAGCCGAGTTGCACACCTAACTTCAACTGTAACTATAACTGGTGGTTTGTGTTTGGAGTTTGACAGACTTGATGTTTGTTAAAGTTAAAGTAAGATAGTGCAACTTACGGCCGAATACTGAAACGCCATTTAAATATTTGACGGCTTCTCAAATAGTTAAGCAGCTCCTAAACTTACATTTCGCATACTCAAAACAATATCTGAGCAGTTCTCAATTTTTAAGCACCTCTCAAATTAAGTTGCACTCAAACGCCACTTAAATGAATTTTCGCATACTGAAACGCCATTCAACGCTAAGCATTACTCAAACAACTGTCAAATCGTCTTAAGCAGCTGTTAAATTTGAGAGTGCTTGCGCGGTATCTTAAATCCTATTCTTACACCTAAATCGTCCTAAATAGTGGTAAATAATGTGTGTCATCGTTATCATTTCTGTCCAGCCTCGAGAAAATACCTAGATCTAATCGCTGGAACGCAATAAGGCTGAACGCTATTGTAAATATTATTACCTATAATGACATGCAATTCCGAGCGAGATTCCGCGTCTCTAAAGAAACGGTGTTGTTTCTGGATTCATAATTTGGAAGCTCTTTGAAACCCCTCACCAAACGCCATACAACCAGTGGACCAAATACTTATTATAACCCTACTGTTCTACGCAACGGGAAGTTATGAACGTGTACTAGGTGATATCTTCCACATTGAACAGCCAACTGTGCATCGTATAGTGCACAAAGTAACAACCAAAATAGCTGCTAAGAAATCGCTTTACATAAACATGCTTATTTCTGAGGAATATGGCTAAGAATTTGAGGACATCGCATAGTAGCATTTCCAAGAGTTGTTGATTTGTCAACTTGATGCTCTGTCAACAATGATAAATGTCAATTGAGGTTACGTTTCGGTCCACGATCGCCACTTAATAGATTTCAACAATAAAAAGTATCATATTTAAAATTATTTTTTTAATTAAATAAAAATGCAAGCATTATTATATTTATATGATAAAACGAAATTTATATACAATAGAAACTAAAAATAAACTGTTCTATGTTAAGTTGATTGAGTATATTTCCATAAAAGACAATACTTATCCAAACGATGCTGCGTGTAATGGATAAAAGACGTAAAGTTATCATTTGTGTAAATGAAAACATACTTTTTTTGGTAAATGTTGCCATTAAGTAAACATTTGAGAGCTGCTTAGCTGATCACGGCTTCAAATCCGTTGAGTAGCGTTTGAGAATACCATTTAAAATTGAAGGATACTTAAATTTAGGAGCCCGTCAGCTGAGTGACAGATTTGAGTAGTGTTTCAGTATTCGGCCGTTAGCCTTAGCAATTTTAGCCAGAATAGCACAAAGAAAATAAACTAAAGTCCGATTTTTAATTCGACGGAATTCTGACAGCTGTCATATTTTGACAATTCAGATGTAATCAGCCTTTTTTGCTTTGAATTATTAATAAATAATATGAAATGAAATTTCATCAAGTACAACTTACAAGAATGAACTATTGTTTGTTTTGTGAATTCAATGTACACTAATCATTATGTACATTTTAGAGATTAAATAGAAAAAAACGTGTTTTTAACACAGTAAAACAACATATATATAAGCAAAAATATGTATTGATCATCAATCATCATTATCGTCATCATAATCAACTTGGAGTATAAAATTGGCATCTTGTTAAATTGGTTATTTTATGAAGCTAAGATTTTATTAATAAAAGGATTTTCATAAAAAAAGTTTGTAACCCATGGATTATTGACCAGGGAGTCCAGTAATACAAAAATAATTTCCCAATTTTTTTTGTAACTTCAAAAATATGATAATAAAAATTCAAATAACCATTTTGAAATGATCAGTACATTTTTAAGCCCTAGTTTTTCAAGTGAAACCTTAAATTCAAGAAAGGATTATTTTTTAATTTGTGAAAATGCTCTCCATTCATAATGGGAATGTTTCAATGTTGGCAACACTTCTGAAATGTCAAAATTCCGTCGAATTAAAAATCAGAGTATACATACTTATTTTAATTATACATTCATGATATTTAGAGTGAATCTTTTGTACTAATTCAAATTACATTTTATTTTTCTAGGTAATCCAGTTGGTATTGGCTCAGTGGCAACATTACCCAATTTAGGTGACTTAAGTGAAAATGTTCAAATTAGGGTAAGTTTTTTAACATTCTTAAATATTATCTTGTTTGTAGACATACATTATTGTTATTTGTTATGTCCTAAACTCAGTGAATTTTATTTATTATAAAGAAAAATATTATAAAAATTACTCCTTATTTAATTAATTTATTTATTTTAATTCCTCAACAAACTATTCATCACAAAAGACGGTAGTAAACAAATTTCCATTTTTCATACAGACAGAAGGACCAGACAGTGATGAGGAGGATGACATCATCAAAGCCGACGATAACCTGCTTCTAGTTGGTCACGTTGAAAGCGATGCCAGCGTACTGGAAGTATACAGTAAGTACCTATTACTATTTATTTTATTTATTAGGCCCAGAACACACGGTGAAACACAATTGCAACGTTTGAAACCAATTTGAAATGGTCGAATCATGTACGGTCTCTCAACGGAATCTATGGCAGAAACTTAGATGCAACTCAAAAGTAACTAGAAGTTGCAGTGTCGTCAACTCAAAAGTAACTAGAAGTTGCAGTTTCGTTGCAATTGAGTTTCACCGTGTGTTCTGGGCCTTAGAGTTATAACTGCTTACAACTGATTAACTGACATTTCAATCCGGACGGATGCGCGAGCATGCGTCGGAAGACGGTCGGCTCCGAGCGTATTCCAGCGGATACACGCGCAGACGCTCGCTTTCCACCGCAATTTTGGCCGAACGGACACTGCTGCGCGCCGACTCGCGCCGTTCAATGTGAATCCTGCCTTATTCTGTACTTTTATCCATTGGACATAATATCTGATAATGTAATGTTTTATTTCAGTTTTCAACAAAGAGGAAGACTCGTTTTATGTCCACCACGACATCATTCTTCCATGGTTCCCGCTGTGCATCGAGTGGCTGAGCCATGACCCTTCAGACCCTAACCCAGGTGAGTAGGTACGACGAAGTTGTTGCATTTGAACGTAACTAGCACCCTCTAAGGATGTAGAGGCCGCGTACCGGAAAACGCAGCATGAGACGTCCACCTACAAGGTGGACCGACGACATTATAAAGGTAGCAGGAAGGCGCTGGACGCAGGCCGCTACCAACCGGGCAACATGGAAAGCATTAAGGGAGGCCTATGTTCAGCAGTGGACATCCTATGGCTGAAATGATGACAAGGACCACCATTTAAAAGAATGTGCTTCTGTTACACCTTGTATAACTTTTTTTAAATTATCTTTTGAAAGCCACAGCACACGTGCTACTTTTAGCATCGGCGATCGGCGATTTAGCCGTTTTTAGAAGCTGAATGCAGCGACCACACATTCCACACCATACATTTAAAAACGCCATCGCTTTGCGTGTCAACGTATGAAGTCGCGATATTGCGATACTGATTCGATGCAGTCGCAAAATCGTCGATGCTAAAAGTAGCATGTGTGCTGTGGCCATTAAAAGGGACATTCATTTGCCACTATTGAAGTATGGGCATGGGGCCACTCATTTATTATGTAAGACGTTTTTTCAAGTTATTTACAATTTTCAAATCATCATCATCATCATTTCACCTATATGACGTCCACTGCTGAACATAGGCCTCCCCCAATACTTTCCACGTCGATCGATTGGTAGCGGCCTGCGTCCATCGCTTCCCTGCTACCTTTACGATGTCGTCTCGTAATTTTCAAATACGTAAGACGATTTAGGGAAACCCTCCCCCCCGACACCCTGTTGGCCTGTTCTTATTTTTTCTTACAATAGGGGAGAGGGAAGGGGTTAAAAAGTAGCGAAAAACGTCTCACGTAATAAATGGCCCCTATGTAATCACTCCAATCTTTTTTTTTGTTTTACCAAAAAAGTTTTTATGTCGCAGGCAACCTCTGTGCCCTCGGGGGCATGGACCCAGTGATCCAGGTGTGGGACCTCGACATCGAGAACTGTTTGGAGCCGGCCTTCAAGCTCGGCAAGAAGCCCAACAAGAAGAAAAAGACTAAGCGCGTGGGACACAAGGACGCTGTGCTTGACCTGTCTTGGAATAGGAATTTTTCGTGAGTCACTCAAATATTTTAAAGAAGATGACGTCACATTGTTGTGTACAGTCGGTGGTACGTCAATCTGAAGTAAAATGACACTGTAAAGAAATTAAGTTCAAAATTATTTTTTTCTTTTTTGTATCAGACTACATTTTTGATGTAAAATAGGCCTATTGGCTACTACAATGGGACATAAGATTCCACTGTAGTTAATTAATGTGTTGTTGTTTGTACTCCTCAACAAGACAAAACAAAACCTCGACAAGTAACTCTAAACTATGCAGGCCGTTGTCAATAATGTGATATTAAATCTACTGTATAATAAATGGAACAAAATGTGTTGTTATTTATCTAGACATGTGCTGGCAAGCGGGTCTGCAGACAACACAGTGCTCCTCTGGGACCTGGACCAAGGGTCGCCGCACACAAAACTAAACTACTTCGAAGATAAGGTAAGTGTTTTTAACATTACATACAATATTAGCGTCGCTTATTGATCGACTGTACACGTCCCAATGAGATTAAGTGGGAGTAAGAAGAGAAAGTACCTAGATGCAAAGAGTGCAGTATTTATTTATAGCTGTGCAAATCCTAAGAGGAGGCTTTTATCCAGCAGTAGACGACTTGCAGCAAGGCTCTGGATTAGAGGCTACCTACCGAAAAGCAAACCTGCAAGGTGGAACGATGACCTCATAAAGGTAGCAGGAAGGCGCTACCGGTCAATATGAAAATCATTGGAGGAGGCCTATGCTCAGCAGTCGACGTCCTTCGGCTGAAATGATGATAGTGATGGGACGTTCTTTGGATAAAAGAGAACAGACATTTATTTCAAACTAGCTTTCCGCCCGTGGCTTAACCCGGGGTTTTCCCGGAAATTATTCGAATTTTTGTCGCCGTAAAAACCATCATTGTACTTAAACGAACACTTTTGGTCCTGGCGTTGTTGAGTTATGTGTTTACCAACACATTTTGCGATTCATTTTTATATTAAAGATTTTTTTTTTTTTGCTTCACCAGGTGCAATCGGTGTCGTTCCACCCTCTAGAAGCGCAGACGTTGTTGACGGGCGCGTGCGACGGGCGCGCGCGCGTCAGCGACTGCCGGACGCCGGACGCGCGCCGCGCCTGGCAGCTGCCGCCCGAGATCGAGCGCGCCGTGTGGGACACGCAGAACCCATTCTGCTTCGCCGTGAGTGCAGATTGAGTGTTTTTTGTTTGGTTCTTTCCATGGGGACAGTTGAAGGAACTAAGTGAAAAAATCTGACTTGCCCCTCTATTACACCGCGCGCGTCACCGACTGCCGGACCCCGGTCAAACGTCAAATCCTTCAGATTTTTATGATCTGTCATGTCATAATATGTCAATATCACCTCTCCTGTGTCGCTCCCATAACTTCAGACATTGACTCCAATTAAGCGGTAGACCTAGTATAGCTTTGCTTTTCTCCGACTTTATAATATCAACCTATAGTCAACTACTGGTGACGCGCGCGCTCTGGGACACGCGGAACACCGTTTGCCTCGCCGTGAGTACAGATTGTTTTTTTTTTTTTGGTTCTTTCCTTTTTGAAAAAGACAAAGCATAAACCAAGGTATATCAACGAATCACGGGTTCAACGTTCGACAGTATATTGACCACTGGGCGGTCGCGACGCGTCACATAAGTACACAGGTGCAATCGGTGTCGTTCCACCCTCTATAGTCTGGTCCGTGAGCACGTAGAATATTGTCAAATGACCCCAAGCTACCCATCCTTATCGCTCTCGCGTAATTATGTTGCTGTCGCGCTCGCACACTCACTGCGAGCGCCCGTCGCACAGTCGCGACGCAAAATTCTACGTGCTCACAGACCAGGCTTTAGAAGCGAAGACGTTGTTGACGGGCGCGTGCGACGGGCGCGCGCGCGTCAGCGACTGCCGGACGCCGGACGCGCGCCGCGCCTGGCAGCTGCCGCCCGAGATCGAGCGCGCCGTGTGGGACACGCAGAACCCATTCTGCTTCGCCGTGAGTGCAGATTGGGTGTTTTTTGTTTGGTTCTTTTCATGGGGACAGCTGAAGGAACTAAGTAAAAAAATCTGACTTGCCCCGCTATTACACCGCGCGCGTCACCGACTGCCGGACCCTGGTCAAACGTCAAATCCTTCAGATTTTTATGCTCTGTCATGTCATAATATGTCAATATCACCTCTCCTGTGTCGCTTCCATAACCTCAGGCATTGACTCCAATTAAGCGGTAGACCTAGTATAGCTTTGCTTTTCTCCGACTTTATAAAATCAACCTATAGCCAACTATCCCCGGAGAGAGACGATCTGGACGCGCAGAAACCTTTTGCCTCGCCGTAAGTACAGACTGTTTTTTTTGTTTGGTTTTTTCCTTTTTGAAAAAGGCAAAGGCATAAACTAAGGTATATCAACGAAACTCGGGTTCAACGTTCGACAGTATATTGACAACTGCGCGGTCGCAGCGCGTCACATAAGTACACAGGTGCGATCGGTGTCGTTCCACCCTCTATAGTCTGGTCTGTGAGCACGTAGAATTTTGTCCAATGACCCCAAGCTACCCATCCTTATCGCTCGCGCGTAATTATGTTGCTGTCGCGCTCGCACACTCACTGCGAGCGCCCGTCGCACAGTCGCGACACAAAATTCTACGTGCTCACAGACCAGGCTTTAGAAGCGCAGACGTTGTTGACGGGCGCGTGCGACGGGCGCGCGCGCGTCAGCGACTGCCGGACGCCGGACGCGCGCCGCGCCTGGCAGCTGCCGCCCGAGATCGAGCGCGCCGTGTGGGACACGCAGAACCCATTCTGCTTCGCCGTGAGTACATTTTGTTTGGTTCTTTCCATGGGGACAGCTGAAGGAACTAAGTGAAAAAAACTGACTTGCCCCCCTATTACACCGCGCGTCACAGACTGCCAGAGATTGAGCGCGCGGTGTGAGACACGTAAAACCCTTTCTGCTTCGCCGTAAGTTTATTATAGTCAAACGAGTCTGCATGCGCGTATATACCAGGATACCCCAGGATATTAGGCCACCGATTCGAAGATGATAGTTGATAGAGTAGTCTCGCTCCCCCCTAAAAACTAAAGGTACGCCAATGTGAGTCTGAAACGTCAAATGGCAAAAATTGGAACTAATAATCCAGTATTGATAATAGCGCCGTCTTTTCGATGACATATCTGGGACACTTCAATGTTGGACAACTGTACTTCAAAAGCGATTGAAAATAAAGCGCTTGGTTTGGGACACAGAACCTATTCTGCTTCGCCGTGAGTGCAGATTGAGTGTTTTTTGTTTGGTTCTTTCCATGGGGACAGCTGAAGGAACTAAGTGAAAAAATCTGACCTGCCCCCCTATTACACCGCGCGTCACCGACTGCCAGAGATTAAGCGCGCGGTGTGAGACACGCAGAACCCCTTCTGCTTCGCCGTGAGTATAGACTGTTTTTTTGTTTGGTGTTTTCCTTTTTGAAAAGGGCAAAGGCATTCGCCATACTGAACCCCTTCTGCTTCGCCGTGAGTATATTGTAGTCAGACGGGGGGTGGTCACGTATGAGCGATTGAAGATAAAGCGCATGGTTTGGGACACAGAACCTATTCTGCTTCGTCGTGAGTATAGAAACTAGCTTTAATTTTAATATCAACTACGCCTTCGCCGTGAGTACAGACTGTTTTTTTGTTTGGTTTTTTCCTTTTTGAAAATAGCAAAGGCATAAACTAAGGAATATCAACGAAACACTGGTTCAACGTTTGACAGTATATTGACAACTGGGCGGTCGCGGCGCGTCACATAAGTACACAGGTGCGATCGGTGTCGTTCCACCCTCTATAGTCTGGTCTGTGAGCACGTAGAATTTTGTCCAATGACCCCAAGCTACCCATCCTTATCGCTCGCGCGTAATTATGTTGCTGTCGCGCTCGCACACTCACTGCGAGCGCCCGTCGCACAGTCACGACGCAAAATTCTACGTGCTCACAGACCAGGCTTTAGAAGCGCAGACGTTGTTGACGGGCGCGCGCGCGTCTAGCGATGGGCGTTATTCGTTATCACTGGTTATTAAACGAGTGATTAGCCTGACCAGTGATCACTCGTTATCCAAAAACGCCTAAACTAGTTTTTTACTTAACGTCATACAACGTTAGAATCTCTTCGTTATTCAACACGATTGCTTCCACAACGCTCTAAAGGTAAGCTGAATTCACTCTTAAGCAAACAACATAAGGTAGATGTTTGGTTGACACAAAAAATAACGTGTTTCCCGCTTCGTTATGACAGTTTTGAGGACAACGTCGTACATTGACGATTCTTAAACATATTTTTTGTAACCTAAAGGAGTAAAGCGAGTAATGTATGGTGTCCAAATAATAAGGATCGCAACGAATCGAGTGCGTGTGCGAGTGAGAAAGCCATAGGACGTTAACATAAGTGTGGATGAAATAGGTATAATCTTCGTCGTACGTTAGATATTCAATGGAATTTGAGTCTTATTTTGAAGGTCATAAGTTCCTAAAGGCCTTGCAGCTAACCAAATACCTAACGTTATTATTATCACTCTTGCTTGAGCGTTGTGGAAATAACTTCGTTTAAAAAAAACTAGTTTTGAAAACGTTATTCGTGATTCGAAAGCCGTCGCGTTTCGTTATTTCAAAAACCCATAACGACACATCTTTACGCGCGTCACCGACTGCCGGACGCCGGACGCGCGCCGCGGCTGGCAGCTGCCGCCCGAGATCGAGCGCGCCGTGTGGGACACGCAGAACCCATTCTGCTTCGCCGTGAGTTTATTATAGTCAAACGATTCTGAAACGTCGAGTCAATGAGGGTTTGCGCGATTGAAAAATCCGCCAGATGGCGGGACGTGGATGTAGGGTCTGACTGCTGCGTGATTGGTGGATTTTGACATATCTGTCAATGTCATGACAAAAATAACCAATCATGCAGTATTTGGACCTCGCGTCCACGTATTGCCACCTGGCGGATTTTTCAATCGCGAAAACCCTCATTGGAACTAATAACCCAGTATAGTTGTCTAACATTGAACCATCCCAGCTATGACTGACAGGAGGATCCAAGAACCCCTTCTGCTTCGTCGTATGTTTAAACTGGTTTTAATTCTTCTTTTATTTTTTTGGGAACCACAGTTTCGCCAATGTCACGTGGGCAGCTTTGACAAAGTTACAGTATAAAATTTCGTCCGTTTGGGGCAGAAAAGTTCTCGAGTGGTCATTACAGACCCGAATCGGCAATGTGGGCATGCCTCACTCGGTGGACCAACTATCTAATAGAGATCATGGAAAGCACCGGGATACGGGCAACGCAGGACCAATCGTTGTAGGAATCCTTGGCCTTTGTTCAGAATTGAACGTACTTTGGCTGAAACAACAACGGTAATCTAACCATTGGTTTTTGTATTTCAGATGAGCAACAACCAAGGAAAAGTAGCGTACGTGGATTGTAGACAGGATGAGCCGCTATGGACCATAGATGCACACGAAAAAGAAATCACAGGTTCGTATCTTATCTAATCGATGTAATTCGAACATGTCTTTGTCCAAACTGTGGCGACACCGACGATACGCCACTACAAACTGTGTACTACACTCCGTCGCTCATACAAACCTGCATCGCGGTGACGGAGTTTTATATCCTGCCAAGTATATTTTATATAGACAAACCAAGACGGTGTAAACTGGACCTTGGTCCCCGAGCATAACACCCGCTCAGAAGGAAGCACTAACATCTAGCTTCCTTATTGTGGTTGAGCATCATATCCCACAAAACCGAAGACACAAATACCTACTTAAATTCTTTTACATTATGTGTTCCACCCAGGAATCAAACCTCTGATTACTCAAAATGGACCGTAAATAATAGTATTTTCATTCCCGTATTTTTTTTATTCTAGGTCTAATACTAAGCGACAAAGTTCCCGGCTTGATGGTCACTGTCAGCACAGATGGAAAAATGAAATCGTGGGACATAACTAGGTAAGCTTTCACTACGAATTTAATCCACCAGGCAGTTCATCGCATGACGTGCACGTGCCAAGATAGGGAAAGGAATCACTCTCATACATTGTCTTGTACCTCATTCATTTACTAGCTGTGCCCCGCGGTGTTACCCGCGGTAAAACGTAGCCTAAGTGTTAATCCAGGGTGTCAGCTAACTCCGTACCAAATTTTATTAAAATCGCTCAAGCCGTTTAGACGTGAAGAAATAATAAACATACACAGTCACAAACTTTCGCCTTTATAATATTAGTGTGAAGTGTGATTATGTCTAAAATGACAATCTTCAACATGTGCTCGTATTGTATTGCAGCGGCGCATGCGTGCAAGTGAGCGAGCGTTCGGGCCGCGTGGGGCAGGCGCTTTGTGCGGCCGCGTGTCCCGACGCGCCATTCTCTCTGGCAGTGGGCGGGGACAATAAGGAGTGCTTCATAGAGGTCGTCGACTTGTTGGCCAGCGACACAGGTACATACACTATCATAGTAACTATACTTACGTCACTTACGGGAAACAAATGCCCAGGCGCAGATCGACGCTATCTCTCAGCGACGCCTGCGTGCAAGCGTCCCGACGTGCCCTCTCTCTCGCGCTTCCTAGGCTGGTTTTAGTGTCACGCGGACCGTCCGGTGCGGACCCGCTCCGCACGGCCAATCTGTATGAACTTCTAGGGAGCGTTTTAGAGTAATGCGGTCCGGAGGAACCGCTCGCTCCCTAGCAGTTCATACAGATCGGCTGTGCGGAGCGATCCGCACTGACAGTCCGCGTGACACTAAAACAAGCCATAGAGGTGGTGGATCTGCTGGCCAGCGACACAGGTACTACCATAGCCGACGCTAAGAGACAGGTACACACTACCACAGAATAACTACACGGTCGCGGATCGACGCTATATGGCAACGGCGCGTGCGTACAAGTGCCCTACGTTGACGCGCCCTTCTCTAGCTGTGGGCGGGGACAATAAGGAGTACTTCATAGAGGTCGTCGACTTGTTGGCCAGCGACACAGGTACACACACTACCACAGTAACTATACTTACGGGAAACAAATGCCCAGGCGCAGATCGACGCTATATCGCAACGGCGCCTGCGTGCAAGCGTCCCGACGTGCCATACTACCATAGAATAAACTACACAATCGCGAATCGACGCTATGGCTGGTTTTAGTGTCACGAGGACTGTCAGTGCGGATCGCTCCGCACAGCCGATTTGTATGAACTGCTAGGTAGCGGAGCGGTTCCTCCGGACCGCATTACTCTAAAACGCTCCCTAGTAGTTCATACAGACTGGCCGTGCGGAGCGGGTCCGCACCGGACGGTCCGCGTGACACTAAAACCAGCCTATATCGCAACGGCGCGTGCGTACAAGTGCCCTACGTTGACGCGCCCTTCTCTAGCAGTGGGCGGGGACAATAAGGAGTGCTTCATAGAGGTCGTCGACTTGTTGGCCAGCGACACAGGTACACACCACAGAATAACTAATAACTGGGTTTACACCAGACGATCTACTGTGTTCCGATCTGGGATCAGGAAAAAGAGTCTCCCTCGATGTCCCATTAATGGAACACAATAATCTATGGGACCGCGAGAAAAAGGGGTCTAATCGTACAAGGCATTCAGACGTACGATAGCCAATATCAATATGGCGGCCTAGCCATGCGCGATTGAAAATCGTACCAAGACGAACCAAATCATTGAAGACATCTATAAATAAATAATCAAATCATACAATGTGATATGATCTCTTGATAGATAGATACAAGAATGACCTCATTAATAAGTCTAACGATAATTAAATATATCAATAATTATACTTACATTTCAATTAGATAAGTAATGATTAATTTTCTTTTACAGTTTCAAATCGCTTCGGGTCGCGGCCGCTGGTGTCTATAACGGTGGAATCAAACGATAACGCTATGGAAGCATAGAATATAATTTTACATTTATAAAATATATTACCCTGTTTACAAAATACTTGTTTTGATTTTTATTCAACACATTTTCTGAGGAAACAAATTCGATATTTTACTATACATTTTCCATATTAATTAGGTACTTTCATTATTATTTGACATGCATCCCATCACCAAAAAAAATACTACATCGTACCAATGGTGATATTCCTGGGCCATCCAAAGACCAATCTGGTCAGAAATAGCTTATCTATGGCTGATCCTCTATAATTTGGCTCGACTGTCGCTGAAAAAGAACAATAAACTGCTTCAGAGAACACTCTAAACTTTCATCTCAATACCAACTCAGTCAAGCCTTCACCAAAAATTTTGGCTTGTTTCACACGTACCACATTTTGCCGTCACTGTAGACCACATGTGTGATATGACCGAATATGTGTGACGGTGCAGTCGTGATAAAAAGTGGTCAAGCTGTGGTTACGCGTGAATAGGTGTCGCTGTGGCTTCACGTTCGGTCATGTCACTATCTATGTGGTACGTGTGAAACAAGCCTTATTCTTGTAAACATAAAAAAGGAACGTTTTTATCACTTTCCGGCAAATTATAATTTCGCTTTGAAGAAAGAGACAAAACTGTGTTGTAGTTAAAACTATATGTGTCGTTTTAGACTTTATTATATTTTTATTTTAACCGACTTCAACGGATTGAGGAATTCTTTTCTTCCTAAAATAAGACTTGAGACATTAGTGTCTACTTATTCGTTTGATATCTAATTCTACAATAAAACAACTTCGTAACAGTGAGATTGTATGTATTTGAAACATAACTTACATGTCTACATGTAACAAAATGAACAAAGCTGTAGTTAACATTAACCGACAACGAGCAGTGACACTAAAAGCGTTTAATACTGTTTTGTTCTGGCTATGTGAGAAGTAAAAGCAAACTGCTACGTAGCTATAAACATTAAAATTATCAGGGCAACACTGGTTAAAAGTGAACCCACCAATGATAAATGGGTTAAGATTATTTACCCACATTCTTTGGAAAGTGTGCGGTTAAAATGGAATAAATTCCCACACGGAAGTGGGTACCCAGTGTAAGCCCTTATCAAATGCTAGACACGTTAAACGAGCGTATTATAAAATAAATAAACTATATGATCGGATAACAATTTAAAACAAAGTATATTGCAAAATATTTGTGATATTCAAAACAAACTTCACAGCCTAATTCAAATAAAGTATAAAATATAATTCTATTTACATAACCTGATTCTCATTACTGTGCTATAAAACATTTAAAACTCTAGACCATGATTTTATTATCATTAATGAGCAATAACAATATAATTTTGATTAATGAATTTTAGTACGATTTTGAGTATATTTTTGACGTAATTATTAGTATATTTTTAAAATAATACATGATGATAATCTCAATTTTGATTCAATACTTCAACATATTAGTAAAGATTCTTAAATTTTACTTTATAGCTATTCAAAATGACATATATTTTCCACGTGTGCATGGGGCCTACCAGCTAATAATTAACCGAGTGCTTACGTAATGTAATTTACGTAAAACAATGGATTTTTATTATACATACGAGTAAATTGAGCTATATTATTGTATAACCTCGCAATAATTTACGTACTATACAAATTTAAGCTCTTTGCAAGCTGGTGTTCTATTCCATGGGTTTTTCTTTGCCATTAAAGTATTGTCTGCTACAATAAAAAACGTATCGAGCAAGCTTCTATAGAAGACTAATTTCAAGAAGTTGTTCATAAAATAATCACAAATTAATGTATAAATCATAGCGCGGAATACATAGATATTGAAAAGCGTTGAACGTATATAAGAAAATTAAAACGATATTAATAATGGTACGCGGCGAAATGTGTACGAAGTCTGCAAATCAATACAGACAAACCCGCATTCCACACCATGTCATCATCTGGTAACGAAACACACTTATCTGGTCCGGGTGACAGCTAAACTTATAAGCAAATGTAAATGCTACAGAGATAGTCAATTCTCTGATCAACGAGTTAAAATCTATTTTCATACGGGCATAAATCATTACTCTCACGAGCATGATGTTACAAAATCTCAAGAGATTTACGTTGTCTTAACTGTACGGAATTTGAACAATGTCATGCCAGTTATAACAAGGTGTAAAATGTAAAATGACCGTAAATTTTATAGGTTGCGTAACGAAAGTTGAGGCGAACACGTACTCACAGTGAATACACTGATGTAATATCTATTTGGATTCAGAACAGTACACAAGACGTCACCGCGACAAGCGTATACAGCCCCCCTAGACAAAACGCACTTTTTGATCGAATCGAAAATCGAATCCGTCAAAACTCCATACAAAAAAGGGGCTTTTCGACCACTTTTCGACTGCTTTGCGATTATAATTTGCACTTTGTCTAGACCCACAGATATAGTTCCAAAATACTGGACTGTCGATGACATTGACAGTGGGGCGCCACCGTCAATACCGGATCGCTGGTTCAGATTTTTGTCATGTTGGAAACCATATAGTTGAACGATGGTAGCGCCCCCCTGTCATTGAGTTTGGCGGGACAGTTCAGCGTGGATCATCTATACTAATCTTTGCTTGTGTTGATAATTGATCGTCTCAACTCTTGCTGCGCACCCTATAATTGTAAATACAATAAATATTAAATCATTGGTCCATCATTCCATCGCCCGAGCCAGATAAGCCACACCACCAACTCTGCTGGCAGAGTTCATAACCAAAAATAACTTTACTGTTCAGCCGGGAACTTGGTGACGGCGTCGTGGATCGCCTTGGCCATATAGACCACGTTGCCCGGATTCAGGCCACAGATGTTGATGCGGCCTGAGCGGAGCAGGTAGATGTGGTACTCCTGGATTAGGTGCTCGACTTGACGAGGGGTCAGGCCGGTGTAGGAGAATAGGCCGATCTGCTTTACTATGTGGTCCCAGTTGCCGGGCGTGCCTAGTCTGTGAAAGGAGTTGAGTGTGAAACGAATGGATAAGCGAATTTAATCCTTAATCCATAAAACACTGGGATCTATTTAGTCAGAGAGATGAATCTGGCGATAAAAATAGATGGATGAATGAGTAAATCTAATTTAGGATTATTTAGAACAGATCGAAAACTAAATTGATTGTTTGAAAACTTACTTGATAAGCTCCGCTCTCAAAGCTTCTCTCATCTGGATGACTCTTGAAGACATCACCTTAATGTGGTCCCTCCTGTAAATAAAAAAATGTATCATATATCTTTCGATTCAGCTAAATGACGTTCACTGCTGGAAAAAGAACTTGAAGGATTTTTATAACGACAATAATAAGAATCATAATATTTATTTATAAATATCAAAAAATTCGAAAAAAGAATACGCTTTAATCTAGCTAGTCTATGGCACTGCCCACTCGTCGACGTGCTGCTTGATGGCCAGCACGTTTTCGACACCAATCCCGCGCTTTTTATAATTTTTACGACCTTAATTTTGAAAAAAGAACTAACCATTCATCGAACAGCTGCTTGTTGGCCAGCACGTTGGCGACGACGGGCGCGTCGTGCGCCGGCGGGTTGGAGGACATTAGCCGGCGATTCAAATTGAAGTTTTAAAAAAGAACGTCGAAAGTTGCTAGATGGCCAGCACGTTTTCGACACGAAGCTCGCAACGTGCGCGTGCGCAGGCGGGTTAGAACGCGCCTTTTTTAATTCATGTGACCTATACCGAATTTAAAATTCAAATTTGAAAAAAGAATACAAGTCTATGAACTGACCACTCGTCGAACAGCTGCTTGTTGGCCAGCACGTTGGCGACGACGCGCGCGCCGTGCGCCGGCGGGTTGGAGTACATGCCGCGCACCACCCACGTCAGCTGCGACTTGATGGCGGGCGCCAGCGACGCGTCCGCACGAGCTCGTACCAACGTTAGTCGGTTAATTACGTGGAGCATCCACGAGTTGGCTATTAAACCAGTCTTGTCAACGTGAAGGTATCCCAACATTGGTGCCAATACTATTTTCTAGACGAGTGGCGTTGGAACAACGTTGGAGCCAACGTGTGGAGCCACCTAAGAATAGCGGGGTTACTCCGGAAAACGTTACCCCAAGTTTCGAATATTACCATCCCTGTCACGCAAAGCGAGATGCCAGCGTGAGTGACAGTGACTGATAGACCTAAAACTACGTAAACAACATTTCGGAGTAGCCCTCCAGTTTAGAACGCGATTCAAATTCAAATTTGAAAAAAGAACTAACCACTCGAACAGTTGCTTTATGGCCAGCACGTTTTCGACACCAATCCCGCGTTTTTTTTTTATTCTTAAGACCTAGAACGAAATTGAAATTTGAAAAAAGAACATGAACTGACCATTCATCGAACAGCTGCTTGTTGGCCAGCACGTTGGCGACGACGCGCGCGCCGTGCGCCGGCGGGTTGGAGTACATGCCGCGCACCACCCACGTCAGCTGCGACTTGATGGCGGGAACCAGCGACGCGTCCGACACCACCAGCGTCAGGTTGCCCACTCGCTCGTCTGCGGGAAGAGTGATCAATGAGAACAATGTTTATTAACGTTCATTCGTTACAGCCAAATGACGTCTACTGCTGGACAAAGGCCACCCCCAAGGATTTGGATTTGGATTTCGGGCCTGCGCTGCCCCCATCCAGGTACTTCCCGCGACCTTCACCAGATCGTCGGTCCACCAAGTGGGAGGCCTGCCCACGCTACGTCTTTCAGCCCGTGGTCGCCACTCGAGAACTTTCCTGCCCCAACGGCCATCGTCTCTACGAGCTATGTGCCCCGCCGGATGAGTGACTTATATGAATCAAACCAGAAAAATGTATTCAGAAAGCTAAGGTCCTATGCCAAAACTTCCGTGGAAACACAAAGCGGGTCGATATAGACACGCGGGCGCATGCACGAATTAACGGGGTTCCTAAATAAAAATCGAGAGAGTAACAGTTTAGTAATAACAAAACTTAATACAAATGTTTTCCTGTACAGTAAAAATGACAAGTTTAACTTTCCCCGGGACAAACTTGACCTTCACTGGTTTTTGTTGGCGGTCAAGCTGTAGGTCCCGGCTACACAGGAGTTGCAGCGGTGGGAATAGTACCGTTGCACAGTAAAAAACATGTTGCGTTAATTTATCTATCAAAAAAGGGTCTTAATTATGGTCTACTTTGACGCCCAGTACAAACTTAGGTAGTGCGGGAGATGGGGCGTTTAGGTGGATGTAGAGAAAGATAGCTGCCACGTAAGGCGCAACACATTGCTTTTAGAAGGTGGGTAATATGCTGGTAAATCTAATTCGAAGTAGAGGCATACATCCAAAGGGAAAAATAGACTCTATCCACTCACTGTAGAGCCCGAAGTTCTTCGCGTAAGACTGCGCGCAGATGAGCTCGAAGCCTCGCTTGACGAAGTAACGTACTGCCCAGGCGTCCTTGTCGAGGTCGCCTGATGCGAAGCCCTGGTACGCGCTGTCGAAGAACGGAAACAACTTGCGCTCCTGGGGATAGAATAGGTCAAATTAAGGTACCTATAAGATTTTATATGCAATTTTGGGTCTTCATCGGATATGTGCCCGGGATGATAGGAACCGGTTGGTGGTTCCGGTTGATCTCGAAAACCCGGGCCACGCGATGCAGGGAATATGTTTAAAACACCCACAAACCCGTGAAAGCACGTGGAAGCTGGCGGGGCGTTAGCCATTCTTTGGTTGGATGGCCACTCTCGGTACTCTGCTGATCAGCGAAACTAACTGAGCAGCAGCGAAGAGCAGACCGTAACGTAACCCACTATGTCGGGCCGGAGGTCCCATTCTACTAGAGCCATGAGAAGAAAACCTCTTTATAAACAACTAAAGGAACGAATTGGGGATCAGTATTATGTCAATTGACTAATGGTTTCGAACTTCAAACTCTCCCTATGTTCTTCTGATTAATTTTCTTGCTGGTCTAATGACTGTTTAGCTTTCCCCCGGGACAAACTTGACCTTCACTGATAGGGTTTTTATTGGCGGTCAAGCTGTAGATCCTGGCTACACAGGAGTTGCAGCGGTGGGAACGAGAGGTGGGAATAGTCCCGTTAATGGTTTCTAACCTCCATGACGTCAGCGATCTTCTCCCACTGCTCCTGCGTGGGGTCCATGCCAGTGGGATTGTGTGCGCACGCGTGTAGTATAATGACGCTGTTCTCTGGCGCATTCTTCAGGTCCTCAATCAGACCGTCAAAGTCCAACGAGCGGGTCTTGTCGTCCCAGTAACGGTAGGTACGAGGCTGCGTGAAGCCGGAGTTGATGAATACGAGGTGGTGGTTCTCTGGGGAGAAAAATGGCTTTTAGAAGTAGAAAAGTATGTAACATACTTAGGTTGGGTCTGTATAACCACTTGCTGATAGAGAAGGAACTTCAGACGACACTATAGGAACATCTTTTTGGATTGACATCTCGCCTGGCTGGAATTTCCTAGACGAAAGACGTTAAAACTTCCAAGTCTACTAGTTCATAAGGCATAGATATTTTTTAAGGTGCGCCGGTGGGGACGCACGATTACATAGTTTTGTATCTCAGATAACTAACAGAAACTTTATCTTTATTTAGTTGGAATTCTTTTTGTACATACCCCACGTAGGACTTGAGTAGTAGAAGGTGGTATACTTGAGGTGCTTGTTCAACAGTTCGGCGCCGACGCGCAAACTGCCCGTGCCGGATAGTGTTTGAACGCCAAACGCCTGCAAAAAATCCACATAATAGTACAAGTGAAGTAAAATAATGTGCACTTTAGAGAAGAACGTGGGAAACTTTTTTATTGGAATGAAAAGGGTAAAACGTCTGTAACATGTGATCTGATAAATGTTTACAATACGAGTCATTATGATGTCATCTTGGCATCATTTTACATCATTTTTGGTGGAATATTATTTAGGTGATAAAGAACTTACGCGACCGGCGGCGATGGCCGGGCTGTCTTCTCCTAGCAGCATGGACACTGATGACGCTGAGAACTGTTCCAATCCTGTAACAACGAAAGAAAATATTAACATAAGTATTTTGACCTTTCGTCGTTCAGTCAGCGCAAATATAGTGGCGGGATTTACCAGCAGGCTGAGTAGGCTGAAGACTAGGGCGGCAAATTTTAAGGGGTGGCAGATTTAGTTCATAAAGTTTTTTTTTCGACAGTGATCGTTTCAGCCAATTCCAGACCACTGCTGGACGTAACTTCGGTGTAATATCGTGACCTTGTCTCTATTATTAAAAAAAATAGACACTTCTAACGGTAGCTTCTGTAACAAAACATTGAAAAGCTATAATATTTTGTTGATTTTCCATTAGGTGTAGTATCAGATTTTCTTGATTCATTGATACGTATCCCTGATGCTAAGCTATTACGATTACGAAATATTGCTCTTACAGTGGTCATACATAATTATAATTTGTTATGAGCATGTGTTATCATCTGTTTTTGTTAGTGTTCTTTCTCATTGCTGTGTCTACTTCAATCATTACGTAGGTAATTAAAATTAAAATCAATACATAAATAGGTTATCACTTGCGGCTAGATATTTACGCAAGTAAAGGCCTACGTCACTTTTTTAACTCAGATAAACAAAACCACTTGCTCCCTGCGAAGTTTAATTATTATTTATTGTTTTATCAGTGGTAAGTAAACCACAGTGATAAAACAATAAATTAAAATTGTGCCTATAACATTCAAATTCAAATTGTATAATAAAATTGGGCGAAGTTTCTAAATTTAATAGAAACCATTATAAAATTTCATATAAGGGGACCAGTGGTGGTATTAATTCCTCAGTAAGATGACAATTGTAATGACAATGGATAAATCTAAACCTAAACACTGTGGCATCTCATGTAGGTAGTTATCTTAGCGATTCCCAAACAATAGAATGTTCTACCTATTATGTCTCGTTTTCAGCAGGTAAAGACATAATTATAATTACGTATGTAGGTAGAATAATTTGTACAGCATTATAAATCCATTTATCATTTGGCTGAAACGAACGAACGAACGAACAATTCTCATAACAATAAAAATACGAAGAAGCCGCAGTCATCATAATATTTGCGTTGTGTCGTGTGCTTTGAAGGATGGACTTTAAAAAATCTATGGTACAATCTAATAACCAATATAATCATGCATACGCAAGCACATCATACTCAATTTTATTCAAAAATCGCACCGATTACAATCAAGTAACATGCCAGTAAACTTGATGTGCCGATTACTGTATGCGTTATCATTCTTATAATTCACTATCATCAAAATTTACGTCGGACAAACAATAATTATCTTTGAACAAGGCTTAAGCCTTATCATTTTGTTGCTATAATATATTAATGCACTATAGTCCAGTCATTTCGTCCGAAAAAAAGGCAAATAAAAGAAAATGAATTTGCGCTTCTAATTTTTTAATATGTTGTAGGGGATACCTAGAAAAGCTTAACTTGAGATTGTCGACCAAGCTTTCCTAGGAGCTTTCGCCGCCATCTTGGAAAACGCTTAAAATTTGTTTTTCGGCAATAACTCGGCTATCCGATGAGATTCGAAAATTTTTGTAGGACACTTTTTGTAGCTTTCTTTGTGCTCTACAATAACGCCCGAACCATTTTTAGCGTATCATGCATCGTTATCGAGATATCGATCGATAAAGTCAAAAATTTTGGACACAATTTTTGTTTTTTTCTTTTTTTTTCAGGTCTAAATAAATATGAAAAATTCCGAAATAATTAAATAATTAATTAAAAAGTAAAATTTAATTACTTTTAATTACTTTTTTTTAAGTAACGGCAAAGCATTTGTATTAGTTGGTTCTTGTTTTGATCCCTTGTGAGAAACTTCTCCTGGCTAACTTTTGGAGTAGTTGTCTCATCGAATGTGAACTCCGGCGATTGGTTTTTTCTCGAACGTCGTACTCTTTCCGAAGTTTTCGTTCCAGCGAGTGTCATATCAGTCGGATAACCGTCGAATATGATTGCAACTTTTCCTTCGAAGTTATGTTGTACGTATCTGACGTTAATTATTTAATTATTCCGAAATAATTTGTGTCCAAAATTTTTGACTTTATCGATCGATATCTCGATAACGATGCATGATACGCTAAAAATGGTTCGGGCGTTATTGTAGAGCAGAAAGAAAGCTACAAAAAGTGTCCTACAAAAATTTTCGAGTCTCATCGGATAGCCGAGTTATTGCCAAAAAACAAATTTTACCCCCTTTTTCAACATGGCGGCGAAAGCTCCTAGGAAAGCTTGGTCGACAATCTCAAGTTAAGCTTTTCTAGGTATCCCCTACAACATATTAAAAAATTAGAAGCGCAAATTCATTTTCTTTTTTGAATGTACGTAATGACTGGACTACTAGTTGAGTTGACGCAAACATTTATTATTATGTCATTTGTACAGACACAGTGGCATCTTAGATTCTTCGAACTTCTCATTTATAAGTTCTTTTGATTAATTTCGTTGCGGGTCCAATGCCAGTTTAACTTTCCCTCGGGACAAACTTGACCTTCATTGGTTGGGTTTTTATTGGCGGTCAAGCTGTAGATCCTGGCTACACAGGAGTTGCAGCGGTGGGAAAGAGAGGTCGGAATAGTCCCATGAATCTTAGATATCGTTGTTGTATTTTGAAACCTAAATGAGTAGTCTGATGTTGTAGTTAAAGTATTGATCACCAATAAAAGTCTGTTTAATATTTGATAACTATTTCATACAGTGACTAATTGCTAACCTGTTGAACCTTGTACTTTGTTCATTTTTTGCTTTATTAATCTAAGATTTTTTGTAAATATTTATTCTTTTTACTCATACTTTTTAATATTTTTTCAACCATTTGAACTTGAGACAAGTTTAGTTACCTACTAGGGCATGAATATCGGAATCTCGGAATCTCGTAATATCGGAATCTCGGACTGCGAGATCCGATATTTCAATTCCGATATTGAGCGACCCAATATCGTAATATCGGAATCAGATAAACGTTTTAATTGAGATTTTAAACAAAGCGTTTAAACTCGCCACAACCTGACACAAAGCCCAAAGTACATGATTGGCAAAGACCAGTGATTTTCTCATGTCTCTCACCATCACTTTTTGTTCCACTGCAAATATTTTAATATTTATATATTATGGTTAATTTAACTTGTTCTAAATCAATTTTAGCATTTGCCATAGGTATTTGGTCAACAAAGAATGTCATCTTAACTCCCTTTCAAACATTAATTTTACTGGACTATGGACCGTCAGTTCTGCGTACTATGTGCCCTGCCCATTGCCACTTCAGCTTGCTAATCCGTCGAGCTATGTCAGCGACCTTAGTTAGTTTACGGAACTCCTCATTTCTGATTAGATCTCGTAAAGAAACACCAAGCTTATCCCTCTCCATAGCACGTTGTGCCCTATATTCAAAGGCCACGTTTTCGAGCCGTATATCATCACTGGTAACACACACTAATTGAAGACTTTCATCTTCGTATTCGACGATTTACCTCTGTCTCGAAATTGCATCTAACTACCTAGCTGATCGTTTGTCCAAGATAGACATACTTACTTGTCAACAATCTCGAGAATCGAGCTCCTAACCGAAACTGGTTATGGAGCAACATGGACATTCGACATAAGCTTCGTTTTTTCCATATTCATCCGAAGGCCTACCTGTTGGGAAACTCGATTAAGGTCTTCGAGCATTGTGATAAGGTCTTCCAACGGTTCTGTCTTAGTACGCAAAACAGACGGACGATGAGGCAGCAAGGTTCTGAAGTGGAGGCCACGTACCGGAAAGCGCAGCGTAGGACTCATAACCACATGGTGGACTGACGACCTCATAAAGGTAGCAGGAAGGCGCTGGATGCAGGCCTCCACCAACCGGCCATTGTGAAAATCAGCATCGGAGCCTGTGTTGATCGGATGATAATGGCTCGTGGTTTTGTGAGTTGTACATCGATAATCAAAAAGGAACAAATTACAAGCATATTCAAGTTTTTTACCTCTCTCTACAATTTTTGTAACACGTGATTTGAATGACTCTAAAATTCGTTCCGCCAACATAAAACAGGGTAATATAATGAAGGAGTAAAAGTTTGTTTGATACCTGTGATTTTACAAAAACACTTTAATTATTTGCTAGTCCATTTATAGGCTCTTTATCAGTAACCATTCATTATCAGGTGATCCGTCTGCTCGTTTGCCTCTTGTCACATAAAAAACCAAATGCAATGGATACCCATAACGTATAAATGGTTTTAAAATACTTCTTTTTTATGAAGTTCTGTTGTGTACCAAATTAAAGATTTTGATTAAAATCATTATTTTATCGTAAACAATCCAGAATTCTTACGAATATAATCAAATATTAATTTTATAGTACATGAACTCAATTCCGATATTAATATCGGAATTCCGATATTGAGATCTAATATCGGAATCCAATATCGGAATTGAAAACCTTCCGATATTACATGCCCTATTACCTACCACTAGGTAGGTAATAATTTAATCACAAAGTCAAGCACCTAAAATCAGTTATCAGTAGATCATGAAAATGTTTTTTTTTTAAGATACGATTAGCTACGATACGATTAGATTTATATATTAGATTCAGAACAAGACAGTCATGCTCTTTTACATCAGTTTCTTTTACAGACGACTTAAATATTCGAAGCACTGATTGATATCATACGGATCGTTTTTTTTATTATTTATGGGACCATATTAAGCAGTTTAAATTTCGCATTCGCAAAGTAGGATGTGGCATAGTGCCATTTTGTAGTAAAATGGCTACGGCATTTCCTAATTTATTTGCGCAATTAGCTAGTTACGTATTTGAGTAATTAAGACTCGCAAAAAACTTTAAATGTAGTGTACGCACAATGTGTCATACCATACATACAGGGTGTCCAAAAAAATTATGGTTAGGACTTAGCATTGTTAGCATGTTGTCACACTGCTGTATTGATACCGAAGTGTGGTGTGATATTACGATGATACGCTGAGAACCCAGTTTAAGACTGTCGAGCCCTTGAATCTTTAACCATTGGACCATAGAGACATGTTTTTCATTACGGCCAAGGTAAGGTAACAAACAAAGCAGCTAATCATCAATTACCATAGACTCGTAGAGATGGAACTGTGTTAATTTTAGCCCGCTGCTATATTCCTCTCGCTATTGTGTCGCATGCGACGGTTTCGTTATTTTGCAGGTAATTATCACCAAATACCTATCTGTTGCTAACGGATTCGCGAACAATAAGAATCAAATTCGGATTCAAATAAGTGGCGATCGCAGCACGATTGCCTCTCTTTTAGTACGCCGCATAATCCTCTTCAAGCGAATGCATTTGCTTGAAGTGGACAGTGCGAGACTTGCGCTACGATTTTGTCGAAGACGCAAATTAGAAATCAAAAAATCAAATCATTTTTTATTTGCAAACATGCAGTACCAATACCATTAATTATGAATAGGGCCGTGTCGGCATAAAATAGTTAATTATTTCATTATTGGTGAAGGCCTACCATCACAATAACATTGTGAATATAATCGAAAACGCGTGCATTTAACTACATTCGTTAAAAAAAGTTAATTGAAACAATATTTATCAGATGCAGCTGCATTAGCTATGTAAAATAAGTGCATTGAAATAGAAAGGCCATTGTTATTCAATAGATGTTACAGTGTACCATAGAGAAGGCAATTTTTATTGCTTGTTCTTATTAAATTATTAACTAGAGTACTGGCTTTGCATGCTAGTGTTTATGATACATATGTAGACCGTTAAATTAAGTTAAACATGTCTGCTTCACTGTATGCTGATGGAAAGTATGAATTTAAATTGAATCTATTTTCAAAACAGTGTAGCAGGTACAGAAAAATGTTGATTTAGATTATTTCTAAAAGATTATTAAAACAATTCGAAACTTGTACATACCAAGTACTGGCAAGTACTCGTGGAGGAGGGTGTCGTCAGCAGCCATTTGTTTCTCCATCTTCCGGACAACGGGAAGCACCCAGGGCTTGCCATTTTCATCTCTGTATGCTGGGAAATATAAAGAAGATTAGCATCATCATCTAAATCAACTGAGTGGGTTGGAGATAGGGACCCAGATTAACTATGCTTTTTCTAAGTTTGTGAAATTAGTTTACAGATGCGATTGCAGTCAAATACCTGCCTTGTTTAGCATAAAAAAAAAATATTTGTGGTTTTTTAAATGTATGCTTATTCTTACATACATACTTTTCGAATTTTCATTCTATTTTATTTGTACAAGTAAATTACACAAATAAATAAGAGACAGACTTTTCATTTACATACATTTAAATACAATAACAAAGTTACATAAGCATAAAACACTTTTTTGTGTTTACATCTTAATTGAAATATTCTACTGAAGTGACAAATATTGTAATAATGTTAAAAAATAAGTAAATAATATAGCAAAGTTTTGTTAACTTAAATTGAATATGAACCCTAAAAATACTAATAAATAATGCTTAATTTTCTTAGTTGTTCTGGTATCTGCTTTACCTGCACCAAATTAAATGGACAAAAAGTAAACTAGCCCAAAAAGTAACTTTTAAAAGTAATGAATGGGTGGCATATTAATTATTTTTGATATTTCATCATTTCTGAAAAAGTTTATTATTATTGATAACCTAGAACTGTAAGTATTTTTATAATGTAATTATATTGTACTATTTAGTTAAAAACGTACGTAATGCCCTTCAAATTTGTTGTTGTCTGTAAACAAGTTACATAACAGGAATATGTAATTATAGGTTATGATTACCTATATTTATATTATCTCGTAAACAAATTTTAAAGTTTCAAAGTTTCAGAAACTTACCCCCAACACCTAGATTAACTTTATTCTGGTATGTATCCTCTACAAAAAGTTTATTTAGCTGAAAAACTTCAATCGGCGGGCCTTGTTCAACCACTTGAAAACGGGAACCCATCTTTATAATTTACTGAACACACGACTACCCTGAACAAAGCGCGACTGCGAAATGCAATCAGTTATGTTAATTTCGCTGTAAAATGTTAATGATTTCTACTAAAACTCGGAGTTTATTTCATTGACCTTTCGTGTGTTATTCAATGTCACAAACTTCGAAAATGTCACATGTCACATTGACAGCTTAGCTCAGTTGACATAAAGTACAGTCATGTACAAAAATTCTTACGCCCTTTTTATTGCGCAAATGTTTAGGAGTCGTCGCCTAGAAAAAATACCAACCACAAAAATACCAAGTGTATTGAAGATTCAAAAGTAGTAATGAATATGATGTGTAAATTATAGAAGAAGATAAGACCCATTTTTCCATCAGTGTGGAGAGGATCGGAGACAAGAGAAATGTGTTTTCAACAACCAATCAGATTTCGTTATTTCCACATCTCCTCTCCGCTCAGCTTCGGTGAATATGGATTGAGCGGAGAGGAGAAGAGACGTGCCTGGTGAGCTTGGGTGGGGCGGCAGGGTATAATTTTGTTCTATAGGGGCGGCTGAGAGCGCAGCCCCATTCTCCGCTATTGTCTTCTGCCATAGAGTTATTAACCAACTCTATGTCTTCTGCCTTCTCCCCGCGTGCCTCGCACACCCAGCGAGTGTTTTGCCCTACACAATAAACAAAACCATGTAAACATTCAACATTTTTTGTAGGCAGTTTCGTTGAATGTGTTTTTGTTGATCATGTAGGGCATTTATGTACAATTTAATGCTGTTGAAACATTGTTAAACAAATAAAAAAAAAAAAAAAAAAAAACGCACTGGAGATCCGGCATACTTAAGGGAGTATTTTGAAAATAAATGATTGTTTTATTATAGTCTCATCATTTTACTAAAACAATAACAATAAACATAATTTCAACAACGTCATCACCGGCATTTCAACATTTGTATTGCGTGTAAACAGGATTTTTCAATCTACACGCTCTTGGATCTTCAGCACGAACTATTGTGTACGTCCACTTGTACTCTCTATTATCTCCATCAGCTTTTATGTAATTCATAACTCCCACAGTGGCCATGGCCATGCCAACAAGAGCTAAAGCAGATGCACCCATTATTTCCGGAATACACCAACAAGCTTTCTTAAATGTTCCAACCCATGTGTTGGGGAAAGGCAGTGGATGGCCAATAACTTTAGGTTCGGCCACCATAATTGGAAATATCAAGAAATAAACAAATTCAAATGATGAAAATCGTAAACTTTTAATACCTCCCAAACACTGATACGTGCTCTGTGCTGTGTCACTGTGTGTGACGATGACAGTGACGATTTGATGAATAAAAATTAATTATTAAGACCCTCGAAAAAGTTACCATGCAAAAATGTTATCTTTTCGAGTATAAGGTATAAGACACATATTTTTTTTGTACATTTTTCTAGCGCAATATCGCAATATCCTTAGTTTTAGCAGTTCAGTTTTAGGGTTAACCTAAGATTTATAACTTTCAATAACGATAAAATAACGAATACTATTCGATTTTAAATTACAACCTGTATAATAACGTATGTTCTTGCCTAGAAAAAATAAAAAGACATTATTTCGTTTGACGTACAGTTCTGTCATTTGTCAAAAAATCGACCCACTCGAAGCGCTGTTAAATTTTTAGGCGAAAATTAAAATTCTAGCCATCTGAGAAGATTTACACATAATAAATGGCTGCATTAGCGTCCAGAAAAACCTTGGGCCAGCTTCTCAAGCAAGGATATAATGAAATCCCCGAAGTCTTGGCCAGCACGGGTCTAGCACTTGTTGGGATCGGTATGGCAACAATAGGCTGCTACAATTATATCAAGAGCGATGGGGACAACAGAAGGTACAAGATGACCTACGTCGTGATGAGGCCGGATGACCCCAGAGTGAAGTTAATCAAAAAGGACTAAAATAACAATTTTGGCAAACTAGTTACTGGTAGTGTGTATTATGTAATACAGCTCGGTGTTGTCGTTATTACAGGCGTTTTTTATTTCACCCTTACATTTACCTAACCCAGGTCTTTTTACATGTCAGTGGTAAACTATCAAGTCAATAAACTGCACATCTTACAGATTATGAAGTTTTATTTTTATTTAAAACGTTCAGAATTAATAATATCAATATTTATTGATCAAAAAACAGTCTGTTTGTACATAGGGTTGCGAGGCGTCCGGCTTCAGCCGGACATGTTTGGCTTTTTAGGGACTTGTCCGGCCTGTCTGGCTTTTTATTTGGTTGCCGCGCCAGGCGAAAGTCGAGCCACAGAATCATATGAAGCGCACGCATCAGGATGTTGGTTAGCAACCGATGATGATAGTACTCACTCATGAGCTGACACTAATTCACTAATTGCACCCCCCGTCACAAGTCCGGCTTTTGTGATTTTGGACCTGGCAACCCTATTTGTACATAATAAATTCCAGTTTCATTGATCATAGTTTTAGTACTGAGCGGAATAATGATAGGTTGAAGAGGAAAGGAAGAAAGCAAACACAGGTTTGAAAAAAATAATAATTTTATTGTAAAAACTTAAAGTAACTTCCAACATAATTTCAACAAAAATGAATTGTTATTTCTTTTTCTTCTCTTTACTTGAACTCGCTTTAGATTTGCTAGTACTTGGTTTTTCTTTACTTGAACTTGGTTTATCTTTACTTGCAGGTTTATCCTCTTTTGCCTTCTTTTTCTGTAAAAAAACATGAATTCATATTGTCAAAAACCATAAAATATGCAAATCATTAATTTAATGAGTGTTAAAATCTCTAATAAAATAACAGGACTTGCCAAAATCACACAGTATACAGGTATTACAGCTGATAATTTCCTATTACTGAATTCATTTTGAAACAAACTTGACTATACCAAAAGGAAACCAATCAGAGGACAAAGTTAGATAACCATAACTTAACTTAGGCTGGGTTGCACCATCTTACTTTGACTGTAATAAACCTCAAAAATCTGTCAAACTCCATACAAAAATCACCGATTATTGTTATAGTTACAGTCAAAGTTTGGTGGTGCAACTCAGCCTTAGTCACTTGTGTCCAGCAAATAGTATCATTGACTGACTGATAATGGGACTATCCCCACCCACACTTGCAACTCATTTTGCATCCAAAGTCTGACTATAGTGTGGTCTGTTAGCACGTAGAATTTTGTCCAATGTCCCCAAGCTACCCATCCTTATCGCTCGCGCGTAATTATGTTGCTGTCGCGCTCGCACACTCACTGCGGATGCCCGTCGCACAGTCGCGACAGCAATATAATTACGCGCGAGCGATAAGGATGGGTAGCTTGGGGTCTTTGGACAAAATTCTACTTGCTCACAGACCGGGCTTTACCAATAATAAAAGTAACCAACCTTGATAAGCGCATCATTCTCCGGATCGCTGTCCTCTTCTTCGTCCTGCGCGGCGTCGTCGTCCACTTCGTCTTCGTTGTCGTTATCGTCTCGCCCGCGGCCCTTTTTGATGGTGCCCGGCGCATAAGGTAGCGCCGTGGCTGACTTGTTGTAGGTTCGCGTCATCGCTGCTTTTACCTGAAGGAAAAAAAAGATAATTATAGATCCTGAGGTAAAACTAATTTTTTTCATGTCCTGACTGATATAACATCATCCAGGTATTTGTAGTGGATAGGATGAAACTCAAAAACAGGGTGTAATTTTTAACAGATTTTAGTTGGTTCGATTCCCGGGTGTGGCAAGTAAATTTTTGGAAATCTTTGTATGCAGTTCTATTTCATTTCAATAATAAATCAAATCAAAATCAAATCAAATAATTTATTGTGCATAAATTTGGGTACATTACATTTGCAGTAGTTATTGCAATAATAAAGTTAGATCGCCAAATCCTACCATTACAGGTGTATACACATTTCTCTTAAAATAAAATTAAAAAACTATTCCTTATGCTCCATAAAATCTTTCAAACTATAGAAACAATGTTTCAATAACCACAATTTAGTGAGCCTCTTAAACGAACTTAAACTTAATTCATCATTTTTAAAGCGATCAGGTAATTTATTATAGATATCTATACACATAATATAGGCATTTCGTGACACTAAAGGAATTTTTCTTTGAGTAAAATTTTCTATAACAGTATTAAGAGTACTTTCCCTCCAGGTGCCATTACAAAATTCCACCCTGTATACCATGAAGCTAAGTATCACGTTCGAACTATTATTCTGTGGTATCACTAGGTTACAAAAAGGTGACTGAAATAGAAAGGAAATACAAAATCGAAATTATTTATGCTACAAAGCACCTTACCTTAGAATCAACCAACACCATAGGGTTCCTCTGTCCGGGCCACAGTGACAGTTCCGTCAAGGAGTCCAGGTCGTCCCTGAGCAGGTGGTAGGCCTCCAGAACGCCCAGGGCTTCGCCGATGCCCTCCGAGCGGTCCTTGATGAGCGGGGTCACGATCGCGTCGCGTAAGTGCGAGCTGTAGTCCAGGAAGATTGACGACTTCGAACCTGAAGTGCTGTGGAATGGGAGAAGAATATTAACGTAAGTATAAACTATAGCATTTTACACATATTTTATAGGTAAAATGTACGAAGTTCGGTTCGTGAACGGCCGAAACACCGTTTACGTAGTTTCGGGTATATCGGCCGTATAAGGTCGGCCGTTTGGTGTAGTGGTTCGAAACGGACTACTATTCCGGAGGTTGCGGGTTCGATTCCCGCACAGTACAAACATTTGTGTGCATGAACATATTTGTTTGTATTGGACTGGGTGTTTTCAATGTATAATATGTATGTACATATTTACAAAAAAAATAATTATTTAAGTATGTTTATATCCGTTGTCTAGTACCCATAGTACAAGCTTTGCTTAGTTTGGGACTAGAAGCGCAGTGTAAAATGTCTAAGGATATTTATTTATTTGTTATTTGTTATATCTGTTACCGTCGCTCATGCTCGCATCTGGCTTTGCGTAAGAGGGATAGCAACATTCGAAAGTTCGGATAACGTTTTTCGGAGTAACCCGCGGGTTATTATTATTACCTTAGAACATATCATAGAGTGGCTCGTTTTTCTGTCACAAGCTAGACTTTTTCTCTAGCTAGACTCATCTTTAGAAGTATTTCAGAATAATTTAATGAACGTATGAGCTTATTGATCAACTAAAATACTTGACGTAATCTCCACTCTCCCACCATCACTTGAGTGAGTAATTTATGTTTCGGTATATTTAAAACTCAATATTCCGGACTTGGACTGAGTAGTTTGAATGCCGCGACCGTAGCTGCTGATATTGTGTTGTAAAAACGCCCAGACCAAATACAAACGTAATGTTCATGCACATATGTTAGTATTGCGCGGGGATCCAACCGACCTCTGGACTATCCGGAACTACACCTAATGGCTATCAAATAGTGTGGCATACCGTATACCTGGTCGCCACTCAAGAACTTTCCTGCCCCAGCGGCCGTCAGCTCTACGAGCTATGTGCCCTGCTCACTGCCACTTGATTTTAGCGATTCTGCGGGATATGTCAGTTCGCGGGAGGCGCCTGGATGCGAGCGGCGCAGGACCGGTCTTTGTGGAAATCCTTGGGGGAGGCCTTTGTCCAGCAGTGGATGTTTTTCGGCTGAAATGAACGAACGAATCGTATACCTGAGCCTGGTGTGCGCGTGTATCTCCTGGCAGAGGCGCTGCATCTTGTTAGCGCGCGAGTTCTTGCCCAGCCAGCCCGGGAACTGTATCTGGCCGGCCACGTGGCCCGACAGCCAGTGACCAGGTATCACTGAGCTGTACATTGCCTGCGGAAGGTAAGGTATCATAGAACGAGGCTTACGCTCGTATTCACAAACGATGTTTGCTTAAATGAAGCAGCAAATCGAACGCACAACGTTGAATAGAGCTCTCTGATTGAAAGAAACAAAGATACATTTATTACAATGGACATCACACAAATACAGGCAATTACATAGACATGACAGTGGCACATAATAATGGAAGAAGAAAAAAATAAAAACAAGAGTAAACTGAGCAGTGCCACCCATTCACAAACAAGATGCCCACTGCAACGGGACCCCACTCAGCATATGCCGTGGCCCACGGTGACGAAGGCCACGGCGCTGGTTTTCAGTGTGCCCCATGCCGAGTGAGGGTCACGGACCATCGGTAAAATAAATAAAATAGTAAGCTGCATAAAATTGTTTAGATAAACATAAATAAATAGTAATATTAGTGCACAGATAAATAAAAAAGGCGGGAAATCGGTAAGGATGATAAGACTACGTTTATTAAGAATACTAATAAAAAGATAAAACTGTTTGTTAGATTGGTTCGTATGTCACTCTGTGCGTCCACGCGCTCTGTGAGACCTCGTAGTAATGTTTGTGAACGACGACATGATCGGATTTGGTTAGCTAGAAATATGACCCATGTCCCATAGAAACTTGATGAAACTTTACGGTAATATTATTTTAAACATCAGAATAGTTGCCAAAAGTCAAGTAAATCGGTTCTTCCATGGCAGATCCGCTTATTTATCGTCATCATCATCTTAGCCATAGGACGTCCATAAGCCTCCTCCAATGCTTTCCATGTTGCCCGGTTGGTAGCGGCCTGCGTCCTTCCTGCTACCTTTTTATTACGATTATTTGTCAATAACCTGTATAATATTAAGGTGTTTACTCACTTGCATAGGCAGGAGTCCCCAGGCCTGACTGCGCCGTATCCTGGCGTCCACCAGGTCGCCTAGACTGATGCTGTCCGCCGCTCTACTTACACGGTCTAATATCTCATTCCTAGGGAGTTCATTATTAATTAGAAGGGTGAAGTTCATTTTTAAGTACAAAAGAGCGCAGTTCAGTTTATTAATAAGTTAAACAAATTGTTGAAACCGTCAAAAACAACCTGCCTAGAGGCCGACAAAAAAGAAATCACAAGAAAAGAGTAGACACCAGACAATTTAATTAATATTATTGAAAATAAATAGTTAAGTGCTGTTGGATACTTTGTAGCGGCACGAATTAGACTCCTCGTAGATTACAGATATTTTGTCGGTCTTTAGTTTCGTCTGTTAATCATGAATGAAGGTACGCACATTACACCGATTTGGTATCGGTCGATTCCTAATAAGAATTAGATGCCGACCTCGGCCGACTAAAAGTCTACAGGGTGGAAACGATAAGTGATCTCACTCGATTATTTCTAAACTATACAAGATATCGAAAAACTGGTTACTGAACCTGAAAGTGCTTCACGAGCTCTTTCAAACGGTACCAATAATAGGTTACAGAATAAACCGGAACTATCCGAAAATTCAATGTTTCCAGCTTCCATACATTTGGTAAAGTTACGATTAAAAACTACAGAAGATATCGCAGAACTAGTTACTGATCCTAAAAGTGCTTCACGAGCTCTATCCAACAGTATTAATAGCTTACAGAATAAATTGGATCTATCCAAAAATTCAATGTTTCCATCTTCCATACATCTATCTCAGTCATGGCACTCATATCTTGATAATATTATAGCAAGTAAAGCTTAAAAGTAATGTTTTCCACAAATAATTTTAAATGAGATGCAAGTTACGAGTTCATTTAACTGACTTTTTAAGTTTATTATTTAACAAAAAATAAATTACACTTCAAATATTGTGTGGTTGACATATATTTAGCATGGAAGCTGGAAACATTGAATTTTAGGATAGTTCCAGTTTATCCTGTAACCTATTATTGGTACCGTTCGAAAGAGCTTATGAAGCACTTTCACGATCAGTAACCAGTTTTTCGATACCTTGTATAGTTTAGAAATAATCGAGTGAGATCACTTATCGTTTCCACCCTGTATAGTCTGCAGGTCTGCGCGGTCTCTAATACTTACTTCGGACAATGCGGCGCGACCTGCAGATAGTTCTCGTAGACAAACAGCGGCGCAAGGCTGTAGTCGTAGAAGAATAGGTCGCTTTTGTCGTTGATGCTCATCGTCTTGTGGTCTTCCGCCGAGAACACCTTGCGGATCGCCTCCCACGGGCCCTGCAAGGTTAGGGTCATAGAAATAGTTAACATGATGAAGAGACTTCAATAGGACCAACTGCATGACTGACGGCCGAATACTGAAACACTACTCAAATCTGTCACTCAGCTGACGGGCTCCTAAATTTAAGTATCCTTCAATTTTAAATGGTATTCTCAAACGCCACTCAACGGATTTGAAGCCGTGATCAGCTAAGCAGCTCTCAAATGTTTACCTACTGGCAACATTTACCAAAAAAAGTATGTTTTCATTTACACAAATGATAACTACGTTTTTTATCCATTACACGCAGCATCGTTTGGTTATGTATTGTCGTTTATGGAAATATACTCAATCAACTTAACATAGAACAGTTTATTTTTAGTTTCTATTATATATAAATCTAGTTTTATCATATAAAAAGATTAATGCTTGCATTTTTATTTAATTAAAATAATAATTTTAAAGGTGATACTTTTTATTGTTGAAATCTATTATGTGGCGATCGTGGACCGAAACGTAACCACAATTGACATTTATCATTGTTGACAGAGCATCAAATTGACAAATCAACAACACTCTTGGAAATGCTGCTATGCGATGTCCCCATAGGTATTCCTCAGAAATAGGCATGTTTATGTAAAGCGATTTCATAGCAGCTATTTTGGTTGTTACTTTGTGCACTAGTACGATGCATAGTTGGCTGTTCGATGTGGAAGATATCACCTAGTACACGTTCATAACTTCCCGTTGCGTAGAACCGTAGGGTTATAATAAGTATTTGGTCTACTGGTTGTATGGCGTTTGGTGAGGGGTTTCAAAGAGCTTCCAAATTATGAATCCAGAAACAACACCGTTTCTTTTGAGACGCGGAACCTCGCTCGGAATTGCATGTCATTATAATAATATTTTTCAATAGCGTTCAGCCTTATTGCGTTCGTGCGATTAGATCTAGGTATTTCCTCGAGGCTCGAAAGTAATGATAACGATGACACAGACATTATTTACCACTATTTAGGTCGATTTAGGTATAAGAATAGGATTTAAGATACCGCGCAAGCACTCTCAAATTTAACGGCTGCTCAAGACGATTTGACAGTTGTTTGAGTAATGCTTAGCGTTGAATGGCGTTTCAGTATTCGAAAATTCATTTAAGTGGCGTTTGAGTGCAACTTAATTTGAGAGGTGCTTAAAAATTGAGAACTGCTCAAATACTGTTTTGAGTATGCGAAATGTAAGTTTAGGAGCTGCTTAACTATTTGAGAAGCCGTCAAATATTTAAATGGCGTTTCAGTATTCGGCCGTGAATAAGAAAAAACATTTTAAAACACTGAAAAATATGAAGAAAAAATAATAGACTGATGCCGGCAAAATCAACACGGCCGCCACAAGCTGTCAACATCGACCCGTCCTTGTTGAAAGACCCTTTAGCAGAAGTCGTATGAAGCTCGTCTCGCCAACACGTCTAGCCAGCGTGGGAAGTGCTGTAGGCCAAATCTTCCCTTTTGCCTCTGAAAAATTAGAGTTGTGTGCCTGCAATGGAGACTAAACCTGATGAAAACAATTGCTCTACAGTTTGACATCTTTCCGGACACTAGTGGCGTCCTTCCTTAACTGGTTCCGGTCGGCCAACGACACGACAGCAGTATCTTTACAGCCAAATGGCGTCCACAGTTGAACAAAGGCCTCCCCAAGGATTTTCACAACGATCGGTCTTGCGCCGCCCGCATCCAGGCACTTCCCGCAACCTTCACCAGATCCTCGGTCTGCCTACCGGTAGCAGTATAAAGTATAACTACGCAACTCACCAGTTTAACATCTTTCCGGACGCTAGTGGCGTCCTTCCTGAGCTTGTCCGGTTCGCCGGACAGCAGGTGCAGCGTCTGCCGGACGTCCTGGTAGGCGGCTACTATCAGAGAAATGCTGCAATGTGTAACAACGCAACTCACCAGCTTAACATCTTTCCGGACGCTAGTGGCGTCCTTCCTGAGCTTGTCCGGGCCGGCCGGACAGCAGGTGCAGCGTCTGCCGGACGTCCTGGTAGGCGGCCACTATCAGACAATAAAGAGTATAATAACGCAACTCACCAGCTTGACATCTTTCCGGACGCTAGTGGCGTCCTTCCTGAGCTTGTCCGGGTCAGCCGGACAGCTGATGCAGCGTCTGCCGGACGTCCTGGTAGGCGGCTACTATCAGAGAAATGCTGCAATGTGTAACAACGCAACTCACCAGCTTAACATATTTCCGGACACTAGTGGCGTCGTTCCTGAGCTTGTCCGGATCGGCGTCAGTGTCGCCCGCCCACTTGGACAGCAGTTATACTAATCTACACACTTCTTCAACCAACACAAAGTATAACTACGCGACTCACCAGCTTGACATCTTTCCGGACACTAGTGGCGTCCTTCCTGAGCTTGTCCGGGTCGGCGTCCGGGTCGGCCGCCCACATGGACAGCAGGTGCAGCGTCTGCCGGACGTCCTGGTTGGCGGCCACTATCAGACAATAAAGAGTATAATAACGCAACTCACCAGCTTGACATCTTTCCGGACGCTAGTTGCATCCTTCCTGAGCTTGTCCGGGTCGGCGTCCGGGTCGGCCGCCCACATGGACAGCAGGTGCAGCGTCTGCCGGACGTCCTGGTTGGCGGCTACTATGAGTTGAGATAGCGCGTCCGGAGGAATCTTGAGGCCTTCTTTGAAGCAGATCGACATCATTGCTGACTGGAAAAGTAGACGATAAAGTGAATGCATTGTTTAAATAAAAAATAACCTTAAAGAGATTTTGCATCTTGTAGCTTGCCATACACATTAAGTAATAGTTTAATTTTGTTGAAGCTCTGCAATTTACTACTTTAGATCTTATTTGTTTGTTGTCCCAAATAAAGAGAAAAAAAAAAGAGAAATAAAAATTATAACAGCGTTGTTGTTCCGGCAGTTGCGGGTAAAATAGCCAGTTCCTCTATGGTTGAGGATTCCGGGTGAAACTCACTTCCACTTTGGATCGGATCGGAGTTGTGAATAAAATACAAATTGAATCTATCAACACTGTTCTTAGTAGTTCGTTCGTTCGTTTCAGCCGAAAGACGTCCACTGCTGGACAAAGGACTCCTCCAAGGATTTTCACAAAGACCGGTCCTGCGCCGCTCGCATCCAGGCACCTCCCGCGACCTTCACCAGGTCGTCGGTCCACCTGGGAGGCCTGCCCACGCTACGTCTTCCGGCTTGTGGTCGCCACTCAAGAACTTTCCTGCCTGTTCTTAAAGTTCGGTCGCCGAGCACGTAGAATTTCGTCCGATGACCCCAATCTACCCATCCTTATCGTTCCCACGTAATTATATTGCTGTCGCGACTGTGCGACGGGCGGCCGCAGTGAGTGTGCGAGCTTGGGGTAGCTTTCATTGTACGAAATTCTATGTGCTCGGCTACCGGACTTTAGTAGATAAGAGATGAAATGATCCTGAAATCTTATTTCTCTTCCTGTTTGCAAGTTACCTTTATCTGGTCGACCCGAGGCCTGGTGAAGCGCAGGTCGTAGCAGTAGTTGACCAGAGAGCGCATCTTCTGACTGTTGCGGTCGTTGCACATACATATTATGGGCACTGACGTCGCCTTTATCAAGCCTATCAGCTCTTGGAGGCCTCCTGTTGAGAGAATAAAATTTATTTTTTTACTTGAAATAATAATATGTATTGCTGGATTTGCTGGATATTTTCGATAGTCCTCATTTTAAGCTGGCTGTAAATTACCAACTAAGCCGCGAACGAATGACCAATAGGACATTTACTCGCAGTTCTGAAGGACACCACCGGGTTTTAGTGGGTAGACATCGCCGTCTTTTTGCAGGGAGAGTCCACAATAATCCACCAGCCGTCCCTATCGGCATTGGTATTCAACTTAATGCATTTCCCATCAGGAAAAAACTTTGTTTACAGCTGATTAGAAGTAGAAAGTAAACTAGCTTATGCCCACAGTTTCGCATCGAAAGACAACTTGTATTAAAATGTATTCACCGTCAACGTTTAGAGAACTAGACGTTATAACGTAACAAAACAGACTTTCTTTCAAAACTCACCTCTGTCCTCATTCCCCGCCATGCCATCAACTTCGTCCATTACCAAGACATGCTTTTTCGTGACAGCCTGCTTGCCTGTATCACCTGTAAGTAAAACAATCAAAATGTTCACTAGTTCTCTACCTTAATACACTCCAACTGCGGTGGCTACGGTAACTAATAATTTTATTTTCATTTTTTTTCTTTATTAGGAAAACATACAGCTTACATACTTGTAACACAGGTAGCATATAAAAATGAGTCTTTTATAAGCCTAGAAGTTTTCACTGCTAATTTAAAATTGAAATTATTAATTTTGTTAATTGATTCTCGACCTAAACACCAACAAATAACGTTCAAAGTACGTCCCCGCTATTTGTAACACAAGAAGCATATAAAAATGAGTGTTACATAAGTACAAGTTTTCACTGCTAATTTAAAATTGAAATTATTAATTTTGTTAATTGATTCTCGACCTAAATACCTATAAATAAGGTTCAAAGTACATAACTTCTGTTACTAACTAGGTAACCATGTTTTACCTTTACTGTATCCTGACAGTGAGGTGGTATTCAAGAGCTCAGTGATCTGTTCCTTGATAAGAGTCTTGCTTCTTGTATCTGAGGCGTTGAACTCTACCACGTCGAATCCCAGCTCCTTGCAAACTAGCGCCACCGTCGTAGTTTTGCCTTGAAACAACATTTAAAATATAGGAAATATGCATGTTTTTTTTTTCAGAAGAGCGGAGCGGTACGGAGCTGTGCAGTGTTTTATTTATAGCAATAGACTGCCAGCTGACAACTACGCATAGCTCACACATCTCTCGTCTCCGCACGACTCTGCTCTTCTCCGCTCCGCTTTGGTGGATATTTCCAATATTTCCAGGCTATTGCCTGCCAGTTTCGCCACACATCTCTTCTCTTTGGAACCGCTCCGCTTTGGAAACCGGGCCAAAGATGATTGCATGTGATTTTCATTTCATATGATTCTTATAACAACTTAGTTATTTTAAGGTTCAGAATCGCTTGTCAGTTTAGACTACACCAAAGAAACTTCTCACCAACACCAGGAGGTCCCGACAGCAGTGCTGCTTTGAAGTACCCTCCGTCGTCGTTTTTGGCCCACGGGCTGGGCTTAGGCAGCTTGGCCTTGCGATTCACATACCACTTCGTCAGCCAATTTGTTAACCTATGAAGAAAGGAAAAAATTAAAATACAGATAGTTTAAAAACGCGATTTAAAATTGCGCCGTGAGTTCTTAGAATAACCGCGCAAATAACCGCTCCCGTGAGTTTTGAAATAAAACCGCAATTCCACAACCGCCGCGGGCGCGGGTGAAAATCGCGCCGTGAGTTCTTAGCCTAAGGGTTCCGTTTTTTTGCCATTTGGCTAAGTAACTCTAAAAAATTACCATGATTTAAATATAGGCTGTATTTTTAAGGAATTATGGTTATTGTTTTGTGCTCAATAGTTGGCACTATTGGCAAGTAACAGAACCTTACTCCACAGTCGCGTCATCCTGGCAAATCCTATAGTCCTCCTACCGCTTCAGCGGTCACCAGTTGGCGCCACTAGCGAGTGTCAGGAACTTACTCTACAGTGGCGCCAACTGGTTAGTCCGAAAACGATAGGTCTCATTATTTTAATGAATCCGTCAAGAAATATAAATAATGACGTGTATATTTCTTTTCATTTTAGCTCTTATGTTGCATGTTTTATTGTGCTTGTTGCTTCAGCCAAATGACGTCCATTGCTGGACAAAGGCCTCCTCCAAGGTTTTCCACAATGCACTGTCCTGCGCTGCCCGCATCCAGGCTTTTCCCGCGACCTTTACCAGATCGTCGGTCCACCTAGTAGGAGGCCTGCCCTGCACGCTACGTCTTCCAGCCCGTAGTCGCCACTCGAGAACTTTTCTGCCCCAACGGCCATCGTCTCTACGAGCTATGTGCCCTGCCCACTGCTACTTGATTTTAGCAATTCTGCGATTTGTGCTTATGTGTGGGTAAGTACTTACTTCTTGACGTTGCTCGCATCTCCGTGTTGTCCGATGATTTGCTTCAAGTTCTGTGGCTTGTATTTGTCTACCCACATCATGTCGATAGAACTTGTAACACTCTTAGAAGAATCTGATTTTCCAGCTGGAAACATGTAAGACATATTTGAAAAAGAAAATGAATTAAAATAAGTTAAAGAAAGATTAAAGATGGGATAATTACTAACCACTTGCTAAATCAGTTGTTTTAGGTTTATCTAATTCTATTTTCTTCTCTTTTTTAACTTCATTTTCTTTTTTAATTTCTGTTTCAACTTTCTTCGGAATTTTAGATTTATTTTCTTTGCTTTCCGAACCATTTGTTTTTTCATGTTTCGACTTGTCTTCATCTTTTCGATGTGATGTTTTCGTTTTATTTGTGTCATTCATGTTCTTGTTAACACCATTGATTTCTTTTGATTCTTTTTTATCTTTACTTGATTTTCTACTTGGGCTCTTTTCCTTTTTTGTGTCTTTTTCTTTTGAGTGCTTGTTTGTTGAGTCCCTGATCATTTGTATAAATTCATCTTCGTTGATTATTTTGATTCCTAATTCTTGTGCTTTTGCCATTTTCGCGGGACCTGCCTCTTCGCCAGCTAACACATGAGTTACCTACAAAAAAAAAACTTTATTTACAGTTTAATATATCATCATTGTGATGAGCGTCTACGCCTAACTTTGATTGCATGGATAACTATACTATACTCGGCCCAAAGACTCATGGCAGGCGGTACCATAAGTAATTTTTGAAACAGAGATGCACACTCACCAATATTTCATTAATTATTACGTATTATAAATAACGATATGCCTGCCTGTGTGACGTCACCTATAACTAGTGTGAGTGAAAGAAAACGTTATATGCACTGTTTTATTATTACACCGCCTGTCACGAGTCTTTGCGCCGAGTATAACAATAAAATTAGCATTATATTATGTTCATACAACTTCATACACCAGACTGAGTGTAATATACAGGGTGTTAGGTAAATGGGTATATGAGCCGACACTAGCCCATGTTAACATGGGCATATAAATGGTATGGTGAAGTCAGAAAATTTATATTTTCATTTTAATTATTTTAATTTTCATACAAATCGGATTTTATAAAATTAATTTAGTATGACCATTTACCTAACACCCTGTATTTTGTTTTGTACAAAATAATTTGGCGACTTTTTAACATACCTTCTTGCTGATACCGCTTTTGATGCATCCACCATATTTGGTAATAGCGTCTGTAACTTCTTCCCTTTCAAAGGAGTCGAGAACTCCGGTTAACAAAAACGCGCAATTTTTCAAACAGTCTGGAGCGCCCTGAAAACATTTCAACAAAAACAACATACAATATAACAGTTATATTGGTTTTAACAGTATTTTTTATCTTAAATATTTAATAAATAATGTGTTCTAAGTTCTTATGCCAACAGTATTGGAGCCTTATTTGCTTTATAAAGTGGCCAAGGAAGTGTTTTTCATGGTTATTATATAATTATTCTTAATATGTAGTTTACCTCTGGGATTTCCTTGGCTCCCAAATGCTTGGGCCCCGATCTGTTCAAATACTTTTGGTATAATTGTGCAGAGTGAATTTTTCTTTCATGCCTTTCTTCATCAGTTAGCACTGAAAAAAACATGTGTTGCAATTATTTATTGAAATGAAGGTTCTATTAGAGGATAAGATAAGTGATGATGTAAATTATGATGTAAAAATGTATACATTAAACCACGAAAAATGATGATTAACAGAACAAATACCTGATTCATTAAGTGATTTATTAAACTTTTTCTTCTTAGTGCTTTCATGTCTGCTTTCATTAATTTCATCTTCAATGATAGTGGCATCATTATCATGTAAATCATTACTGTCTTCTTTTTTCACTTTAACCTCCTTGCTGCCATTTCTCTTATCATCTGTGACGCTATCATTCAGTTTCTTTTTCTTGACTGCTGCATCTACATTAGATTTTCCAGAATCATGATTAGTTTCATTTTCATTTTCAAGGAATTCTGCAAACTTTCTTTTCTTGTCATTCATTTTTGATATATTAGATTTTGGTTCATTTTTAAATTTTTTAGATCCATTTTTATCTTGGATATCGTTGTCATTAATTTTAAATGGCGATTTTTCCTTTTTGATATCATTTTTCTCAGGTTGTTTATCTTTAATTTTGAATGGAGATTTTTCTTTTTTGATTTCAGTTTTATCAAGTTGTTTTTCCTTAATTTTAAGTGGAGATTGTTCAATCTTTTGATCACTTTTTTCGTGTTCATCAGGTGCTTTGCTCGTTGTTGGTTCTTCTAGTTTTAACGCTGACTCTTCAATTTCATCTAGTTCCAGAAGACTCTTATCAAAGTCGTCATCCGAATGTATACCTGTTTCTGTATTCTTCTTCTCTTTCTTTTCAGATTTCTTGACAATTGGTTCTGTTCTTTTAATGGGTGCACTACCAAAGATGTCCACAGCTTTGACTTCTTTTAAAACGGGTTTCTTTGGACTTTTTGTTTTAGTTTTAGACGGACTTTTCTTTTTAGGGTCGTTAATTGGTTTCTTCTTCTTTGAATCAAATATTTCTTCTTCAGAATCACTCAGGACTCTCTTTTTACGTGATTCTTTTTTCTGTAATATTTAAGAATGCCTATTTAAACAATGTATGGTTAAATTAAATGATATTTTGAATATTGATGTGCCCAATTAATGAGGTTTTGTCTATTCACAAATTAAATTAATTTATAAAATAGTCTAATCAGTCTCAATTAAATACACAATATTGCCGGTGTAGAGGCTAAACTGACTATTTATTTTTTCTTAGTAACTCAGTATTTTTTTTTATCTAGTGGTGATGTAAAGCCAACTAGATGACACTTTGAAGTAATAATAGGTTTTGCCTAAAACTCTGCTTTAAACTTGAATGTTTTTATTCATATTTGACTAAATTAAACCAGGTAGAGCATGATAGCTATTACTTAGCACCACAAAAAATAAACAGAACATACCTTATTTTTAATTTGAACCTCAGGAGATTCTGGAATAACATCATCATCAAGCTCTTCTACCTTTGCTTTTGGAGCCTTTTTTGGTTGGAAAAATGATCTTATATCCTGAAATTATTAACATGTAATTATAAAACAAAATTATAACTAACAAATCATGAAAGCACTTGTGTATTTGATATAAATTCTAGAATGAAAACTATAAACACAAAACAAGCCTTTTGTTTCTATCTATGCATCCTATTGCATTGAAATGCAGACACTGAAATGCCATGTTTTTGTAATTAATTGAATGTGGTTGTCTTTAATACTTCTGATAAGATTAAGATAAACCTTTCAAGATAGTCTACTACCCTTTGATAAAATGAACGCGAACATAGTAAAATCAGTTGATAAACGATTGTTATTGTGAGTACACGTCTAACACTTACCCGAGACATTTTTATTTATTTAGTAAATGTACAGTTAAAACAACATAATCACAATCAATATCTTTAATACCAGTGCTCTTTTATCACCAAATTAATCAAGAAAACATAACCGCCAAATCAAAGCAAGAAACGCAGAAAATTCGCACAATTTTATATTTGACAGTGACAGTTGAAGTGATGCTGGTCATTCAATATCGATATTGTGGAAATTGAAGCAATGCAATGCTTCCTTTTCCTTCAGAAGCATCATCGTGCGATTTTGTGATGTTGTATTGTACCATTATTCATACATAATAAAATTGCATCATGCATGCAATTTTCATAACCTAAAATTCCTTTGTTCACTATAATCACAATATTATGCCAGTAAGTCAGTCAGAAGAAAAGTATTGTCGATATATCATCATCGATATTATAAATACTCATCAAGCCAAGCAAGATACTTAATTCGTAAATATCAAGTTGGATATCCAATGAATATTTATTTATTTATTTATTTATTTGAACACCAACAAGGTTACATTGAGGCTTCACAAAAGTAACTATAAAAAATATTGAAATTACGTTTTAAAAATCTACATTTAACCAAATCGATTGCTGGGATACAGAGTTCATCGACTGATTCACATCACTCCGCAATTATTATTGACTTGACATGAATGACAATGACATATAGCGCGCAACGTTTCAATACACGCAAAATTTATTTAAAAAATTAAAATGTAGGTTTCAGTGCAAAAGTCAAAAATATTGACTGTTTGTTTGTCATTCAGATTGTGGATTTAGATTAATTTTCGCTTTAATTTTAAAGGCAATTGAATAGAAATTCGATGTTATGTATTTTAGTTTTACTTGTACTTCTAAAACCATACGCTACAAGTACCAATGTGGGTACCACATTATTTTTCAACAGACGAACGAGAGCTGATTGTTGGCATGAAGATGATGTGGCTAAACTTCGGGCTCGGAAAATGTTTCAGCAAGTTATGCCGCCGCCAGTGACTCCAGATAAAATCAATGCTAGATACATTAAAGACACACTCAGGTATTATCGGGGAGCACTCCGAGCTACAGAAATGATCCACGACCATCACACGTCTGTACTACTGAAAGAAGCTCTCGCCGATGCTATTGGAGGGTATCTAAATAGTCAAATGCTTCCCACAGTAAGATTTGCATACTACGCTGGCTATGTTCCTTACCGAAGTGCACGAGAACTGCACGACTTCTTAGAAAATATAAAAACGTTTCTGAATACCAAAGGACTAGGATGGAAAGAGCCCGATAAAGTCCCACAGTGGTCAAATCTCACCGTAGTTAAGGTACTGATAGGTTCGGGCCGGCTTTTCGACCCGTGTTCATGTTTAGTCACAAAACGAGACTCCAGTGCGTGTATACATTTACCAGCACCTAAGCTGGATGATATTTACGAACCTTCAGCAGTTGCCTTGCCCTTCAAAGTGGGTGGACTAGTTAGTTTAGCTTCAGCGAATTCTGAAAATATTCTTCTCAAGTATTATACTACCGCCTCGAGATGCATTCTGAGGAGTTCTCCAGAGAACTGTCGGCATTCAGACTTTGTCAATTTCAATAACGAACTCTGGCATTGGATGAAAAGAGATGTCGCTCCGCATCTTGTAGACGACAAGCTTTACGGTGCTTACGGGGGGATCCTCAGAATAGCAGCGGCAGTTCAAAGCTACGGAAAGGGATTGTCGCGTCGTAATCTTTTCGAGTACCAAGACGCAGGAGTTTCGAAATGGCATCCCTGGCAAGCGCTCACTCAATCATACGTCTACATAAACGCGGATTGGACTCCAAAACTATACGTGGGGATGGTTGTACTAGCCGCTATAGCTATTTGCTTGTTGCAAATCTGTTACAACTACATGTTTGGAGACGCAAAGGGCTGTCACTGTACAGGACGATCTAAAAGCTTTTTTACGAAAGAAGTTGCTTACGCAAACGTCGACTCCAACTTCCCAGCCATGCTCCCAGCTCATGACACTTCAAAGTTTAGTGATAAGAATCGTCACAAACTATCCAGTGCCAAGACCAAGTCATCGGCTGCATCTATGAAGACTCAGAGAGTGTACGACTTGAACGACAACGCGGAGAAGTTAATGGAGGTGATCATAAGTGGCAATGAAGATACAGAATCTGAGTCCCCATATTTGTCTAAGCAGGAGGAGAGCGAGGAGGCGGATAATGTGATCAATTTAGCGCAGTCGAAGCGTTCGAAGAGTCCACCGGAGTTGCACACGCCTATCGCACAGTTGCGGTTGGAGAAACCACAGCTTGGGAGATCTGTGCCGATGTACTCTACGAGCACAGCTACACATTCGGAGGTGACTTACTGCCAGGAGCAACAAGTGAGCGAGTCCGCGTGGTCCGGATCTGGTAGTTCTTCGTCGGAGGACCACACTGCAACTTCTGATAGCTCTAAAACGAAGAGTAGGAAGACACGAGAGTCCCGCGACATCGCATGGGCGCGCCGAGTAGTGTCGAAACATATGGTCCACAGTAACACAAGATCCACGACTGGGACTGAATTCGATCTCAATTCGTTCACGACACCGCCATCGCGAAGGTAAGGGTTTCTTAAATTTTACTAAGAATTTCGTTTAGCGTTTTGTTATGTAAGATATTATTGTTATTTAAGAGCTGTTTAAAACTTTTAAGGATTATACTTGTATGTATGGATTATTTTCAAGTTTCATTGATTTTCTATTGGTTAGATTAAAACTTCGAAGTTATATTATCAGGGAACATTTCATTACGTAAAGAGAAACAAAAAATATTATAGGATCAACATTTATTTATCTATAATACCATATTTTCTAGTTACTTTACATTGGACATTACGTCAGAAAATTTTAACGCCTTTAAATACAATATACTTTCAATAAATACATATCACATACTTAACACATTTTGTACATCATTTAAATGTAAAACTAAACGAGTAAACTTATTAACCTATGTGTGGTATAATTATAAATATACATAATCTACTATATCTAATAATCAATCTGAAAATCACAGTAATATAATCAGTATACAGAATAGGGACATAAAGGAATTAACTAAAAAAATGAGTAGAAAAAATAAAGCCGACTTTATAGAAGTTTAATTTGATGAAATGAAAGATATGGCTGGTGCCTTAGTCTAAGGCTGGTGCATATTTATGCCATCCTTCGGACTCATACAAATATGAGTAACAGTAGCAATCTGGGTATACCCTCAACTTCATACTTAACGATCCGAACTGAACGTTATGACGGCCATCTAAAACAACCTAATAGAAAGGTACTTGAAATATAAATTAATACTATGATCATCTTCACGGACACTTTCTGGCTCAGTTTTGTTTGACCAACATATTTTGGTTACCAGAGAAATATTACCGTGCAACTTAACTTTTGACATATACCAGAAAACAAACCTTTCTTCTCCAGTTAAAACTATCTAATGGTCCAAAAACTTAGTCACAAGGAAAAAAAGATGACGCAAACTAAAATATCTTAACCTTTGATTGAAAAAGCAAAAATATACACAAATATAGACGTTTTGTGTGATGTCATAATAAACCCTAAATACGATAAGTATACATACTCTAAATACTTTTAAATATACAAAATACGTTTCGAGGTAAAGTGCACTTAACATGATTACAAAAAACTCTCCAAATAAATATTTAACGTAGTTATAATATTAATAACATTATTAATTTGTACGTAATGTCTGTTTTAACAAAAATAAATTATTTGCAAAATAAATTAACATTATGTTATCTGTGCTATTGATTCATTTAAAAATAATAAAGAAGAGATGTTTAAATATAGTATTTGAGATTTAGAGGAATGTAAAGTTTATTATTAATAGTAGCTCTATCCAAAGTGCAACATGCAATAAATTGAAGAGTTTTGTAATACTATAAAAGATTAAGATATTAGTACATAATTATGCTTTATAATTAAATTGGAGTTCTTTTTAATTAGTCAAATTCATAGTCTTTGCTGCCACGCAATTCATAAAAAGTGAACACATATCAATAGGTACATATTATTTTTCATTATCACCGATGTTATATCTTGGTCGCATCGAGATCAATAGTTACATACTGGTAGACCATCAAACATAATTTTATAATATTTTTTGAAATTGTAGTGCTTCCAAAGTTTATTTTTTATTTTTTTAAATTTATTGTTAGGAAAACAAACAAGCAGCAACAAGTTGTGGGATTCGTGTCGTTACAATACGATAAAATAAATCGCAGTCATTTAATTACGAACTGGAGACATAGTAAATATATAGACTATCCCTCTGTGTGTAGTATACTGTAGTGGTAGAAATACACCAGTAGGAAATTGACGTCAGTAAGTGTCGATAGAGTTGACTTTCATGATTTTTCCGACACATCCGTATTTCCTTGTTTAAAGGAATAAAAAGGTTTTAAAACTGGTATCTTGGCGTTGGTATTTAGGGACTTCATACCAACTTTGTCTATGGACGTAGCAATTGTGACACGACACACTTTTATTCTAAAATGTTGAGCTACATTTCAAGCTTTATTGCATTGATTTAAAGACCACTTGTGTGCTATAATTAATTTTCAGCATTCAAGATAAACATTACTATTTAATATTTATAGACTAAACTTAATTGCCTACCTTACCCGTCGCTAGCTGGGAGCGTATGTATCACATTGGAAAATGGATCTATTGGACCAGTCTGTATGGTTCATTCTCGTCCCACTTTTGTTAATGGCCTTTTGTGCCACATTGTGTAATGAACCTAAATGCGTTGATATTGAAGATCATTTCAGTATGTTCTTGTACTGGCGAGCGCTCCACTTTCTGTGCATGTGCTTGACGATGTATAGCGGCAGGCAGGAGACGAGGGTTATAGTGGTCACCTTCCACCAGAAGTCCCAGTGTCTTATGAAGTCAGCGTCTGCAACAAAAAGTGTTTCTTGGTCAATGTTTCATACCACTCTGGTTTCATTATCGTCATTATGGATGCTGCAGTCTGGTAAAAAATCGTTAAAGTTTTGGGAGGTAATTCCTAGAAAGCTGAAAAATGCTTTCTAGAAAGTACCAGGCCTGTTCATCTCCGCGAGTTTACATCGAAAACAAAACACGCACGATGGCCCACCTACAGGATACTATTCGACAAGGCCTCACATATTACGAGCGAACATTGACTCACGCACGCGTATTCTTGTGTATGATGGAAGTAAATAAAGAAAATGGTGCACTAAATACTGTGCAGTATTTAACTGCCTCAATAATAATAAAAACACAGAATGTACTTTTTTAAGTTGCCTCAGGACACTGAGAGGTAAATAAGTAGTTAATATTATTCATGATAATTCATGCTAAATCATGTATTTCCTCCGCCATTTTCCGCAGTTTGGCACCTCACGTCACATCATTTTACCGAAGTCAGCCCTATAGCTTCGGCGCAGTGCCGATTACTGACGTTTGTCAACAAAATGGTGCTTGACTCTTGAGACAGGCTAAATTACACCATATTGTTAATGACATTGAGCATACATTTTTTTAAATACCTTCGCGAAGTAAAACTTCTGTACGTAGTACTTATTATTATTCTGTGAAAGTACGCGTAGAGTGGAAGTGAATCGACCCACGCTGTATCAGTATGGAAGTATAACCCGATCGATCTCGCTGGAATTCGCCTCTCCCTCCCTCTCACTCGCACACCTCCCCGCGTTTGTCCCGTTCGTACCAGAGCATCGATATGACGTCACGGTGATAACTCGACTGGGTTTGTTTGTTTGTTGACTCACCGAAGTACGAAGTGAATATGAGCAGAGTGGCGGTATACATCAGCAAGCTGACCGCCTCGGCCGCCACCATGAGGCGGTGCCACGTGTTGACGGTCAGCGCCACCATGATCAGCTCCGTCAGGATCAGCGCCGTGTGCTGTATCAGTTTGGAAGTACTCACCGAAGTACGAAGTGAATATAAGCAGAGTGGCGGTGTACATCAGCAAGCTGACCGCCTCGGCCGCCACCATGAGGCGGTGCCACGTGTTGACGGTCAGCGCTACCATGATCAGCTCCGTCAGTATCAGCGCCGTGTAACTGATCTCTACGATGTGGATCAGCTGGTCCTCGAACAACACTAGCGCGCCGTACATTATCACTCCACCTGCACAACAAATACACGGAAATGAGAGTCACAAGGTGGACTGGCGACCATAAAGGCAGTAGGAAGGCGCTGGATGCAGGCCGCTTCCAATCGGCTATTGTGGAAATCATTGGGGAATGTTCAGCAGTGGACGTTTCATTGCTGAAATGATGATGATGATGGCTTCGTTTCAGTCAAATGACGTCCACTGCTGGACTAAGGCCTTCCCCAACGACCAGTCCTGCGCTGCCCGCATCCAGGCACTTCCCGCGACCTTCACCAGATTGTCAATACACTTAGCTAGTGTGAGGCCCGCCCGTCGTCTACATGTAGGCCCGTGGTTGCCACTCGAGAACTTTTCGCCAAATGGTGAAATCAAATACGATAGCCTTCATTATGCGTTTGAAGTTGGCACCTGTGCAATGATAGCATAGAACCACCTGTCTTGCTTTTAGAAAAACAGACGATATATTTTTTTAATTTACCTTGATAAATAGAGATGCCAGTCCATATGTAAAAAGTCTTGTACGATAGCTGCCTTCCTTTGGTCAGTTGTTTGTACAGCTGCGGGTGCCGTAGCGCCGTGGAACTTGGTATGTCCTTGTCTAATACCTGAAAAGAATACCATGAAGGAACTGATCTGACTTCTTCCCAAAATCTTAATAGTCACTGCCAATAAATAAAAGGGCATCTTAAAATCTCAATCTCATAAAATCAATCTCGACATAAAAATGTTATTTTTGTTAATTTCGTGCTTGGAATGTGCTTAATTAGGAGGTCAAAATGTTGTATTGGGCAAACTCCTAGAAGTTTTAGTTTATGTAGTAGACTAGCAATAAAAAAAAATGTGTTAAACTTACCAACGAGAATACTGGTAACAAAGTATAGACGGTCCCGTAGCCCACCATGAGGAAGCCGGGATACAGCGACACGGAAGAGAAGTAGAACACTACAGAGAACACAGCCTGCAGGAGAAGAAAAAAATCTATATTAAAATCCCAGATACAGAAGACCATTCTGGGAGGCCTTTCCCCCCCGTTATACTATACGCGCATGCTAATGGTGCGTCCACACTGGGCGAACGGGCTCGCGCGACACGCTGGTCATCCTGCTCACCCTGTTTTTGAGTGAGCTGGATGTCGAGTTTGCCGCGCGAGCCCGTTCGCCCAGTGTGGACGCACCATAATACCCTGCATGCATTACTCGCTCAGCCCGCTGTGCTATCTCACTCCGGTCAGCGAAGACATTGCGTCTGTCAATCACAGAAACTAAAGGGAGATGTCAAAAGGTAGCAGTAATGTGCCCAAAAACAGAACACAGTATAATCGAACGTTGAGTACCGATACCGCAGTGGATAATCAGCAAATTCAAATTAACACAATTCATTCAATCGCACGTCAATGCGTATGTAGTGCTGCGGTGCTGTACGTCCATTACTTGCAACCTGGTATGCCAACGAATAGTCGCACTCAGTGCATGACACACGCGACGTATTGTTTTTAATTTGATTACTTTGTGTGTGTGAATTTCTAATGCGACACTGGGCTTCGAACTCAGCGCATTAGTTTGCATTTCTCTAGACCTCTACACTATGCTGTAAATAAATACCTGCATGGTGGACACTATGAGCCCGCGGTGCACGATGAACAGGCACAGCGCGGCGGAGCGCATGGCGGCGCGCCGGCCGTGCACCAGCAGCAGGCGCGCCAGGCACGACACGCGCTACCTCACTGTGCGTCACTACAGCGAGCTGGCTGGTACCTGCATGGTGGACACTATGAGCCCGCGGTGCACGATGAACAGGCACAGCGCGGCGGAGCGCATGGCGGCGCGCCGGCCGTGCACCAGCAGCAGGCGCGCCAGGCACGACACGCGCTACCTCACTGTGCGTCACTACAGCGAGCTGGCTGGTACCTGCATGGTGGACACTATGAGCCCGCGGTGCACGATGAACAGGCACAGCGCGGCGGAGCGCATGGCGGCGCGCCGGCCGTGCACCAGCAGCAGGCGCGCCAGGCACGACACGCGCTACCTCACTGTGCGTCACTACAGCGAGCTGGCTGGTACCTGCATGGTGGACACTATGAGCCCGCGGTGCACGATGAACAGGCACAGCGCGGCGGAGCGCATGGCGGCGCGCCGGCCGTGCACCAGCAGCAGGCGCGCCAGGCACGACACGCGCTACCTCACTGTGCGTCACTACAGCGAGCTGGCTGGTACCTGCATGGTGGACACTATGAGCCCGCGGTGCACGATGAACAGGCACAGCGCGGCGGAGCGCATGGCGGCGCGCCGGCCGTGCACCAGCAGCAGGCGCGCCAGGCACGACACGCGCTACCTCACTGTGCGTCACTACAGCGAGCTGGCTGGTACCTGCATGGTGGACACTATGAGCCCGCGGTGCACGATGAACAGGCACAGCGCGGCGGAGCGCATGGCGGCGCGCCGGCCGTGCACCAGCAGCAGGCGCGCCAGGCACGACACGCGCTACCTCACTGTGCGTCACTACAGCGAGCTGGCTGGTACCTGCATGGTGGACACTATGAGCCCGCGGTGCACGATGAACAGGCACAGCGCGGCGGAGCGCATGGCGGCGCGCCGGCCGTGCACCAGCAGCAGGCGCGCCAGGCACGACACGCGCTACCTCACTGTGCGTCACTACAGCGAGCTGGCTGGTACCTGCATGGTGGACACTATGAGCCCGCGGTGCACGATGAACAGGCACAGCGCGGCGGAGCGCATGGCGGCGCGCCGGCCGTGCACCAGCAGCAGGCGCGCCAGGCACGACACGCGCTACCTCACTGTGCGTCACTACAGCGAGCTGGCTGGTACCTGCATGGTGGACACTATGAGCCCGCGGTGCACGATGAACAGGCACAGCGCGGCGGAGCGCATGGCGGCGCGCCGGCCGTGCACCAGCAGCAGGCGCGCCAGGCACGACAGCGCGCGCACGCTCACGTCGCCTGCTAACGACGCCGCGCGACCTTCCGCGCCTTCGATGCCCACGCCTGGGGGAAACAAAACAATACGGCAATGAGCCATACATTCATAAATCTAAAGCTAAGAACTCACGGCGCGATTTACACCCTGCTGCGGGCCCGCAACTGCCGCGGGCGCGAGTAAAAATCGCGACTCGCTAAGTCACTGGCACAAAATGGTCGCCCGCCGATCGATCGCAGAGCGCCGAGGCTGCAGTTACCGCAGCCCGCGCGATTCTACTAGTCGCCCGCCGGTGCCGCGGGACCCGCATACAACCGCGCACGCTGCGGGCGCAAACCGCGTCGTGAGTTGTGCATTATTTTTTACAGAAGTATCTGCATTCTACAGAAGCTGCGGGCCCGCAACCCCCGCGGACGCGGGTGAAAATCGCGCCATGAGGTCTTAGCCTAAGATGAACGCAAAAAGTCGTAAGCACGTAGCTCTCCCGAATCCTTAGATGCAAAACCATCCATCGACCTAGGTGACGCTTTTTGTTTTGAACACATTATGCGTCCAAGCACGTATGACGCTTTATTTCTTGACGCATACTGGACTTAGTCTACGCTGCACCGCGTTACGTACAACCACGCCGCTGCTGCGCACTGCTACGATTATGAATACGTTTGTCCTTTTCTAGTGCGCATCATGAAAAGAACTAACAGGTGCAGTAACTCACTCACTACGACCATCCTCCGTGCCCGTAGCAGCCGTGCTACGCGCGCCTTCTGCGTCGGCGAGTACCGCGCTACGACTATGCCGCTAAACGCTGTAGCACTGCTATATTACTACGATTGTCACTTCAGTACGCGTCATAATAAGAGCCAACAGCCGCAGTACTCACCCATATCGGCCTCCTGTATCATAGCGACGTCATTTCCTCCGTCTCCAACTGCTGCTACGACTAGCCCCCGCGCTCGTAGCAGCCGTGCTACGCGCGCTTTCTGTGTCGGCGAGCATCGCGCTACGACTACGCCGCTACAGCGCTGTAGCACTTCTACGAACTCTTCTTCGTATGAGCGGAGGCATTCCTGTTAGACAAATAAACATTAATCATGAGTAAGTTTTTCACTCAAGTGGGACTATGCTCGAAGTTTCCCTGCGTGATCGAACCAAAAATATGGAGATCCGCAGGAGAACCAAATTGACCGACAAAGCTCGTAGAGACGATTGCCGTTGGGGCAGAAAAGTTCTCGAGTAGCGATCACGGGTTGGAAGACGTAGCGTGGGCAGGACTCCTACTAGATGTGGCTACTCCATTGTGCTAAATAGTACTAGTGGCGCCCTCTTTGTCAATGTTCTGTTTTTGTTTTGTTTTGTTTAATGTTATTTTTTAATTTTTATTTATAATGTTGGTTGGAGAGGCTCCCGCTGAAAACCAGCGTCGGGGCTCGCGTGCATGCACGCGTGGCTCGATTAATGCTGAGCGGGCCTTTTTGGCACAAAATATGCGTGTATAGTTTTAAGTCCCTTTGTTCTGTTTTTTATTTTTTTCCTTTTTTGTGTCAAATAAAGTTTTTCTTATTCTTATTCTTAGATGGACCGAAGATCTAGTAAAAGTCGCGGGAAGAACCTAGATGTGGGCAGCGCAGGACCGTTCATTATGGAAAGCTTTGGGGGAGACCTTCGTCCAGCAGTGGACGTCATTTGGCTGAAACGAACGAACGATGTTTTTCACACAGATTTTTTACATAATATTTTTGTGCATGCCGTGAACTAATTTGTTCACTCAGGTAGGAGCGAGCGCGCGATATAGCTCTATCTCCTTCTCTCTTACCTCCAGCGTCTCCCCCTCTATGATCAGGTCCATATCGTCGGTATGCTGCGTGAGAGCCTGCAGTAAGGCGTACGCGTCACGCCGCGAGGTGCATGTGTTAGCTGTGAACCAGTTTGTTCGCTCAGGTGGAGCGAGCGCGGGATATAGCGCTGTCTCCCTTCCCCTTTTACTTTCAGCTTCTCCCCTCTATGATCATCTATGGTCTTTGAGCGGAACATAGTGATACTACCTAATGTAACATGTCACCATTTTACCTATGATTCACAATAAATGATTTTGTATTTGTATCAGGTCCACATCATTTGTGTGCGCGTGAGGGCCTGTAAGAACTAGTGGAACCCCTCGCTAAGATGGAGCGAGCGCGCGATATATCACTCCCTCCCTCCCTCTTACCTCCAGCGTCTCCCCCTCTATGATGAGGTCCATATCATCGGTGTGTTGCGTGAGGGCTTGCAGTAAGGCGTACGCGTCACGCCGAGAGGTGCAGGTGTTGGCTGTGAACCAGTTGGTCCCGCCACCCAGGTGGAGCGAGAGCGCGCGATTTAGCGCTGTCTCCCTCTTACCTCCAGCGTCTCTCCCTCTATGATCAGGTCCATATCATCCTGTGAACCAGTTGCTCCCGCTGCCCAGGTGGAGCGAGCGCGCGATATAGCGCTGTCTCCGTCTTACCTCCAGCTTCTCCCCCTCTATGATGAGGTCCATATCATCCGTGTGTTGCGTGAGAGCCTGCAGTAAGGCGTACGCGTCACGCCGCGAGGTGCAGGTGTTAGCTGTGAACCAGTTGGTCCCGCCACCTAGGTGGAGCGAGCGCAGGATATAGCGCTGTCTCCCTCCCTCTTACCTCCAGCGTCTCCCCCTCTATGATGAGGTATGTGTATACTTAAGTATTTGTCTTAAAAGTTTTGGATTTCGTACTCTTGAAAAAAAAACAGGGTCCAGAAAAAAAATAGTTTTTTTCAGGTTTTGTTTTTCAACGTTTTTTTCTCACACCAGAAACCGGTTTTTTTGCAACACTAGTTGAGCCCCTCGCTAAGGTGGAGCGAGCGCGCGATATATCACTCCCTCCCTCCCTCTTACCTCCAGCGTCTCCCCCTCTATGATCAGATCCATATCGTCGGTATGCTGCGTGAGAGCCTGCAGTAAGGCATACGCATCACGCCGCGAGGTGCAGGTGTTGGCTGTGAACCAGTTTGTTCGTCCAGGTGGAGCGAGCGTGCGATATAATGTTGTCTCCTTCCTCCTTACCTTCAGCTGCTCCCCTTCTATGATCAGTTCCATATCGTCTGTGAACCAGTTGCTTCTGCTGCCTAGGTGGGGCGAGCGCACGATATAGCGCTGTTTCTTTCGCTCTTACCTCCAGCGTCTCCCCCTCTATGATGAGGTCCATATCATCTATGTGCTGCGTAAACGCCCGCGAGAACTAGTGGAACCCCTCGCTAAGGTGGAGCGAGCGCGCGATATATCACTCCCTCCCTCCCTCTTACCTCCAGCGTCTCCCCCTCTATGATGAGGTCCATATCATCCGTGTGCTGCGTAAACGCCTGCGAGAACAAGTTGAGCCCTTCGCTAAGGTGGAGCGAGCGCTCGATATAGCGCTATCTCCCTCCTCCTTTTAGCTTCAGCTTCTCCACTCTATGATCAGGTCTATGTCATCTGTGTGCTGCGTAAACCCTTGCGAGAACTAGTGGAACCCCTCGCTAAGGTGGAGCGAGCGCGAGATATAACTCTGTCTTCTTCTCTTGCGCGTGAGAGGCGTACGCGTCACGCCGCCAGTTTGTCCCGCCTCCCAGGTGGAGCGAGCGCGCGATATAGCGCTATTGTCCCTCTTACCTCCAGCGTCTCCCCCTCTATGATGAGGTCCATATCATCCGTGTGTTGCGTGAGAGCCTGCAGTAAGGCGTACGCGTCACGCCGCGAGGTGCAGGTGTTGGCTATGAACCAGTTTGTTCTCTTAGGTGGGAGCGAACACGCGATATAGTACTGTTTCTGTCTAACCACCAGCGTCTCCCCTTCTATGATCAGTTCCATATCGTCCGTGAACCAGTTGCTCCCGCTGCCCAGGTGGAGTGAGCGCGCGATATAGCGCTGTCTCCCTCCCCCTCTTACCTTCAGATTCTCCCCTCTATGATGAGGTCCATATCATCTGTGTGCTGCGTAAACACTTTCGAGAACTAGTGGAACCCCTCGCTAAGGTGGAGCGAGCGCGCGATATATCACTCCCTCCCTCCCTCTTACCTCCAGCGTCTCCCCCTCTATGATGAGGTCCATATCATCTGTGTGCTGCGTAAACGCCTGCGAGAACTATTTGAGCCCTTCGCTAAGGTGGAGCGAGCGCGCGATATATCACTCCCTCCCTCCCTCTTACCTCTAACGTCTCCCCCTCTATGATCAGATCCATATCGTCGGTATGCTGCGTGAGAGCCTGCAGTAAGGCGTACGCGTCACGCCGCGAGGTGCAGGTGTTGGCTGTGAACCAGTTTGTTCGTCCAGGTGGAGCGAGCGTGCGATATAATGTTGTCTCCTTCCTCCTTACCTTCAGCTGCTCCCCTTCTATGATCAGTTCCATATCGTCTGTGAACCAGTTGCTTCTGCTGCCTAGGTGGGGCGAGCGCACGATATAGCGCTGTTTCTTTCGCTCTTACCTCCAGCGTCTCCCCCTCTATGATGAGGTCCATATCATCTATGTGCTGCGTAAACGCCCGCGAGAACTAGTGGAACCCCTCGCTAAGGTGGAGCGAGCGCGCGATATATCACTCCCTCCCTCCCTCTTACCTCCAGCGTCTCCCCCTCTATGATGAGGTCCATATCATCCGTGTGCTGCGTGAGAGTTGAGAGTTCACTCAGGTGGGAGCGAGCGCTAGATATAGCGCTGTCTCCCTCTTACCACCAGCGTCTCCCCTTCTATTATCAGTTCCATATCGTCTCCCGCTGCCCAGGTGGAGCGAGCGCGCGATATAGCGCTGTCTCCCTCCCCCTCTTACCTTCAGCGTCTCCCCCTCTATGATCAAGTCCATATCATCCATGTGCTGCGTGAGAGCCTACAAGAACTAGTTGAGCCCTTCGCTAAGGTGGAGCGAGCGCGCGATATATCACTCCCTCCCTCCCTCTTACCTCCAGCGTCTCCCCCTCTATGATCAGATCCATATCGTCGGTATGTTGCGTGAGAGCCTGCAGTAAGGCGTACGCGTCACGCCGCGAGGTGCAGGTGTTAGCTGTGAACCAGTTGGTCCCGCCACCCAGGTGGAGCGAGCGAGCGATGCATAGCGCCGTTTCTAGCTTGTCGCCTGTTAGCATCCATATCTGGAACAGAAATGTGGGATTTAGTATGCCCTTTTTCTTTGGAACTAAGACAGATGCGGGCGGCGCAAGATCGGTTGTTGAAAATCGATGTATGTATGGAGTTTGACAGATTTTTGACGTTTGTCACAGTTAAAGTTAGATGGTGCAACCCACCCTAAGAACTGTTAATAAAATACTATTTTCTTTACGGCCGTGTAAGTGTGCTCAAACGCGCGCCATTGGGTATCGTCCCTTAGTGTCTTCTGATTGGCTATGCTGTGACGCAGCAACCTGCGTGACGTCATACCTTGATGCCCGCGGTCCGCAGCATGGCGAGCGAGCGCGGCACGTGGTCGGCCAGCCGGTCCTCCACGCCGGTCAGCCCCAGCAGCGTCAGGCCGCAGTCAGCTTGCTGCTGCGGTGACGTCATACCTTGATGCCCGCGGTCCGCAGCATGGCGAGCGAGCGCGGCACGTGGTCGGCCAGCCGGTCCTCCACGCCGGTCAGCCCCAGCAGCGTCAGGCCGCAGTGCAGCTTGCTAAGAGCTGCGGCGGTGCGCTCGCTTCGATTCTGAACGCTGAGACGGGCTTCTTTGTACTCGCTCTGCGATAAAATTAGGATAATTAACGTATGAACTGTTGTATCGTGACTTTGTTAGTGTACATAATAAATAAATAAATATTTTTATTGGTGGTCATGAATTTCTTTTACTGAATCAATGTGCCCTGAGTGCCTGAGCAACTGCACGTAAGAGGACTTAATGAATGCTGCTGACAACGCCAATCCTGTAGCGGAATTTTGGGTTGACACTGTGTAGGTTTGTTGTCGACACGATAAGAAGACTGCATCAATTTGCCGCCGGCACTCGGCGCCACGCCCGGCCTACACTTGCCACGTGTCACGTGACATGTCACAAGCAGCGCACCTCAAACTCCAGGTACTCGTTCCTGGTGAGCGTCTTCTTGGCCACCACGAGCGTGCGCAGCCCCTCGGCCGCCAGCCGCCGGCACTCGGCGCAAAGCCACGCCGGCGCCAGTAGACGCGCCACGCCACGCCCGGCCTACACTAGCCACGTGTCATGTCACAAGTAGCGCACCTCAAACTCCAGGTACTCGTTCCTGGTGAGCGTCTTCTTGGCGACCACGAGCGTGCGCAGCCCCTCGGCCGCCAGCCGCCGGCACTCGGCGCCCAGCCACGCCGGCGCCAGTAGACGCGCCACGTCACGCCCGGCCTACACTAGCCACGTGTCATGTCACAAGTAGCGCACCTCAAACTCCAGGTACTCGTTCCTGGTGAGCGTCTTCTTGGCGACCACGAGCGTGCGCAGCCCCTCGGCCGCTAGCCGCCGGCACTCGGCGCCCAGCCACGCCGGCGCCAACAGACGCGCCAGAGCCACGTCCGCGCCCTTCACGTAGTATGTGATTACGTCCGTGTTCTCGTCCTAGTACAATAAAATGACAATTTATAGACTGCAAAAAGGTTGTTTATTTGTTTAAATCAGTGTTTTTCAACCTGTGGGTCGCGACCCCCTGGGGGGTCACAAAGCCTCTATAGGGGGGTCGCGAGAGGTCGTAAATACTACCTCAGTAAGAAAACCAGAGAAGTTTGAAAGTTAGATTTATCCGAAATCTAATTATGCAAATGCATAAATGTTGTATTAGATTGAAGAATTCGTTCCCTACAACATCTTTGTAAAAGGCATGAAAAAAACCGAACGGTCGGGGGGTCGCAAACATTTTTTTCATGCTAGGGGGTCGCGTCATGAAAAAGGTTGAAAAACACTGGTTTAAATCATCAAAAAGATTCACCAATACATTTTCCAGCCGTTATTCGTAGCTCGTAGAGCTGATGACCGCTGGGAGAAAAGTTCTCGAGTGGCAAAAACGAGCCAGAAAATGTAGTGTGGGCAGGCCCTCACTAGGTAGACCGACGATCTGATCAAGGTCGCGGGAGGTGCATGGATGCTGGCGGCATAGGACCGGTCGTTATGGAAATCCTTGGGGGAGGCAAACAAAGGTCCAGCGATGGACGTCTTTCGGCTGAAATGAACGATACTAGTCTATACAACTTTTTAACAAGCCACTTACTTGCACGATAATGCCCATCATCTTGCTTTCACTGGTGAAGGGGAATATCTGCAGGATGCTGAACTGCATGATCTCGTTAGCAGCACGGAGTTTCAGTGAAATGTTGTGGAGGTCCCTCCGGTATAGAGACACGCCCATCTGTAACACGGATAGTATTGATTTTGGGGCCCTAAATATTATTTATTATTATTATTTATTTATTAGGTACACCAACAAAGTCACATACATAATGCAGTTCATACATTTTAATATGGTTTGACACATGATACGTATATAACCTCAATTACAGGTATACACAGCATTTCTTTTTGCAATGTTAGGGTAATTATACACTAGTAAAAACAAAAATCAATTGAATAGAGTCTAGAGTTTAAGCACCGAACAATATAAAGGATTTAGTAATTGTTCATTTTGTTCGGTGCCTATGTCGTTCCGATTATTTATTTAAGACATCCAACAAGACAGACACAAGTATAAGCAGAGGGGTTTAAATACATATTTTTTCTAAGGACTAGGTGCTACCACAGCCTGGCACGACATGCAAAAGTGAACTTTTATTATTGCACTTATCATCAAGTCATGTAGTTTATTTCTAATGCAGGCGGAATATCTCGTCGGGGCTGGCGGCCTGGTAGTCGCACAGCTGCTGCCGCGACACAGGCACTGTGCAAGGGCCGGGCGCACAGGGCGACGCCGAGCACTCACCATGTCAGTCCACTTGACGAGCGCCACCTCGTCGGGGCTGGCGGCCTGGTAGTCGCACAGCTGCTGCCGCGACACAGGCACTGTGCAAGGGCCGGGCGCACAGGGCGACGCCGAGCACTCACCATGTCAGTCCACTTGACGAGCGCCACCTCGTCGGGGCTGGCGGCCTGGTAGTCGCACAGCTGCTGCCGCGACACAGGCACTGTGCAAGGGCCGGGCGCACAGGGCGACGCCGAGCACTCACCATGTCAGTCCACTTGACGAGCGCCACCTCGTCGGGGCTGGCGGCCTGGTAGTCGCACAGCTGCTGCTGCGGTACCGCGCCGCCACAGCTCTCCGACACCACAGAGCTTGCCATGTCTGACACAATAAATAGGCGGGTTTCAGAATCGCGCTGACTGCTCGCTGATCATTGGCGCTGACTTTTAATACATTTCGGCTCTAAGAGTAGGCGCACACCGTTGACTTTTCGTCGGCCGATAGTTTAGTCGGGCAGTTCATCAGTATGGGCATGTATGGGAGTGCGCACACTACGCCGATTCGATTTGGCCGATTCTTCATACAATTTAAAATCGGGCACAACTATCGGCCAACTAAAAATTAACGGTGTGCGCCTACTTTTAGCGCCGACGGTCAGCGTGCACGATTCTAAAACCAGCCTTAGGGATACGAAACTCAACAGAGGCAAAAATTGGTGTGATGAGCATTTTATAATGATGAGATGAGCTAAACAAAAAACAGATTCCCAAAAGTAACAATTAAAAAAAATGACAGAATTAAAAAAATATGTTCATTACTTCATCCACTCACCCGACTGCGAATCATCGACTTGTCTCTCTTCCACCTCATAAACCGGTGTAACGTTATGACATAGTGCTAACGCGATCACACACTGCCACACTTGTCGCGGCGTAGGCGCTAGGACTTCGCCCCCTTCGCCTGTGGGCGACGTTGGTAAGGAGGGCTCTTCGTTGGTTATGTATTGAGTGAGGAGAGCTTCCACCTAAAAAGGAAGGAAGCCTATATTGTTTTTTTTAAGATTATTAGTAACTAGCTTTCCGCCCGCGGCTTCGCCCGCGTGGAATTTTGTCTGTCACAGAAAAACTTTATCGCGCGCGTCCCTGTTTCAAAAACCGGGATAAAAACTATCCTATGTTCTTTCCCGGGACTCAAACTATCTCTATGCCAAATTTCATCAAAATCGGTTGCGAGGTTTAAGCGGGAAAGCGTAACAGACAGACAGACAGACAGACAGACAGACAGAGTTACTTTCGCATTTATAATATTAATATATAATATAGTTGGGAAGTTGGGATTTGTTATTACACAAAATACTAATAATCCCGTCAGCACTTCGTACTATGCTAAATATGCTTGTATCACGAGTTAGCTCACCACAATAGTCGAGCGGCGGCGGAGACCGAACCCGCGTTCCTCGGATCACGGGTCGGCCAGTCCGACCCCTTCACCGTTCGGCTATCGTGGCTTTGTAAGAATGCATGGTGCAAATTTCAAATTAGATCATAGTTGCAACGGAACATTAGTGTGAAACCGGTTCCAATCGTCGCTACAAAACTCGAAGTAACCGCGTACTTTCGTTGTAATGCAACAGCTTTTGGAAGTCGGCATAAATTAATAAATTGCCGTGAGAGAAAAACGGCAATGAAAAAGTTTGAGTACGAGGTAACTGTATGGTTATAGAAGATGTAGGTCTATCACATAAATTAACTTGGTATATTCCGCCTCTATCAACCAAATAGAATAGAATAGAATAGAATATTTTTTTATTTGAAAGAGAGACATACAAGCAGGAAAAACATACATACACAATGAAGGAGATACACAAATTAATGTACAGATAGCTGCTTGAGCCCCTCTGACAAAAAGGCACCCGCTCAGCATACATCAAGACCGCGCCAGTGCTTGTCTCGAAACTGATTTTCAGCGGGGGCCCTCTGTTGTCAGCAGGGGGGCGCAATGTACAGGAAAAGAAGAAGAAAAACATACAAGAGCAAACAAACAAAAAACACCATAACAACTAAATTTACATTAAAATTCAATTCCATTAAAATTAGATTTTAATTATTCAATTACATAACCAAAACATTTATTTAAAATTAAAATTAAAATTATTGACTTTCAAACACTCAAATTAAAAATTAATGATTACCTAATTAAATCAAACACATTTCAATATAATGAAAATTAAAATAAGAATTAAAATAATAATAAAAAGAAAAAAAAATACAAATTACAATAATTAAATTAAAAAACACCATTATTTACATGTGGCCATAACCATAAAGTCACAAGTTAGTTATGCAATGTCAATGCCAGTAAAAAGATTGAAANAATATAATGAAAATTAAAATAAGAATTAAAATAATAATAAAAAGAAAAAAAAATACAAATTACAATAATTAAATTAAAAAACACCATTATTTACATGTGGCCATAACCATAAAGTCACAAGTTAGTTATGCAATGTCAATGCCAGTAAAAAGATTGAAAGAGTAAAAAAAAAGAACTGTCAGTGGATCGACATGTGCACGACCTGTGAGAAATTGCCACGTAAATTATTAAATGTGAGCAGATTTATGAAATTTGCTTGAGAAATGAGTGCCAAATATTAAAACTATATTAGGAGCAATCCGATCCGCAGCACTACAATCGTAATACGTAACAGAAGGTGAGTGCCTAACATCCCGCATCGTAAATCAATCAACAATCATATACGTAATCATAAATCATGCATTATACAATTAAAATAAGGGAAATTAATAAGAAATTACCATCAATAACATTAACATTTAACATGAGCAAAGGATAACCTACAATAAATTTACAATTTCAGAACAAAAAAGAATACACTGAGTACCCACATACAAACAATAGCAAAAGAAATAAAATAAAATAAAATAAAAACCATGTCCAAAACTAACGGTGCCAAATAATTGAGGACCGCACACTAGGAGTTGGAGAAATTCAGATGTGGCTATTGGTGGAATATAATATGCACTTTATAGTCTTTATATTATTATCTCTACTAAATACAGGTAGAGTCATAAGGGCCAAAGAATTCAATGAATGAGACTATTATTCACTAACAGAAACAACGACATTAAATCTTTTCATTAAATGGCGTTCTTCTTATGTTAACTAACAGCAACCTATTGTTTTAGACATTTATTTACGTTCAGTTTTATTAGAAAGGTCTAACAAAACTTCAATTCAAAACAAACTACTGCTGTTGTAACGACAAACTTTGCTCATAGAACGAATGCTTGAGATAACAAATAAATAAACGTTTGCATTTATTGGCTAAATAATACAGAGAAATCTCATCAAAACATATTCGCGAGGAGAAAACTTGAATGAAGAATGTTCACTAATTTTGTTTTTTAGCTTTCTGTATTCTCTGTTAAAAATAAAAAATACACGTGAAAGAATTATTTCGATACGTCAATTAGTTTCCAAGATATTGAATTTTAAAAGTGCGGGCGGCGGCCGGCCCGCCATTTTATGCGCGTGACATCATATTACAACGACTGGCTCATATTTGTATGGGTGGAATCTTGCAAACTGAATTAAGACCCACTTCCAGGCAACCGATTAAGCTGAAATTTCGCAAACACATGTGATTTGGATGACCATGNGCTTCCTACGCGCATCCATCTTCAACATGTCTCCAGCATTGAGGAATGGCGTAACATGTGTACGAGGTGGAATCGTGAAACAAAACCTAGCGCAGGCATTTTGCACTCTTTGAATAAGTTTAGCTGATTTTGTCAAAATACATGGACCATAAACAGTATCGCAGTAGTTAAACTTGCTGAGAACCAGTGATTCGCAAAGAGCAATTCGAATCTTCTCACTTAAATATGGTCTTAGTTTGTATAGAAGTTTCAAACGGTAAAAACTACTTCTAGCACAATCAATGATGTGGTTTTCAAATTTCAAATGGCAATCCATGGCCAATCCCAGATTTTTCACTTTATCAACTCTAACAATAGGCTGACCCACAATATTTAAAGTAGTATCATCAAATCTGGCAATGTTCTTGGGAGTACCCATTACAATGAATTGGGATTTTTTAGGATTAAGAGTTAGACAATTCAGTAAGCACCAAGTATTTATGTTATTTAGATCTTGGTTAATTTTATTGACAGCATTCACTTGGTCGGCAGGGGCAAACGGCAGATACAGTTGCAAGTCATCAGCATATAAGTGATATTGACAATTCTTTATGCTATGTACGATGTCAGCACTGTACAAAATGTACAGAATTGGGCCCAAAATAGAACCTTGGGGCACACCACGAGAGACTGTACTCAGCTGCGAGCGCAATAGAGTGCCATCAGTCTGTTTCAGCTCAACATATTGACTACGCTGAGTTAAATAGCTATGAAACCATTTAACGGATCTGCTATCGAAACCATAGTATTTTAGTTTGGATGAGAGAAGAGATGTATTGATTGAGTCAAATGCCCGAGAGAAATCAAGCAATGTCAAAATTGTAACCATGCCACGGTCCTGTCCAGCCAGTATGTTGTCAACCACGTCTGCCAGTGCAGTGGCCGTTCCATAACCCTTCCGAAACCCAGACTGACATTGTGGAAGTATATCACAGTCCTCAAGGTATCGAGTGACTTGGTCGCACACTATCCTCTCAAGAATTTTAGAAAGGCATGGCAGGATGCTAATAGGCCTTAGTTCCTCCACCGAGTTAGGATGGCTTGTTTTAGGAATAGGTCTCACAATCGATATTTTCCAATTCTCAGGGAATGTGCTGTCTAGTATAGACTGGTTGACCATCGCAGTTATGGCTTTAAGGGAGTAGGGTAAGGTTAGCCGGAGCATGTCCAAAGATAGGCCATCATGCCCCCGGGCATTCGACTTCAATCCTCTGATGGTCTTAAGAACCATCTCCTCACTGACTGTGTGTAGAGAAAAAGTAGCTGCATTGTTATGCCTGTGAAACTCAAAGTAGGTCAGTTGAGAAATTGATACTTTATCCTCACCTGGCACTTTTTGAAAATGTGCATTGATAAGATCAGGATTGTTAAACATAGAGGGAATATCAGGTATGTTCCCATTATCTGGCAGTACCGTGCGTTTCAAGTTCCTCCAAAGTTTTTTTGGGTTACTTAGGTTATTGTTGACATGTGCATTGAAGAAACAAGACTTCTCGCGTTCAATGGCCCCCAGAACCAGATGTCTCATTGTTTTGTAACTGTCCCTGAGGCTAGCAGTTTTCAACTTCCTATATCGCTTGCTATAAGCATCCCTAACACGAATCATCTTTTTGATAGTGTCTGTTATCCATGGATGTGGTGGGTGTCTGAATTTGCGCGACCTCACAGGGGCATGGAGATCCATCATACCAATGACACAACCGGTAAAAGATGTTACAAGCTCATTTACATTACTTAGACGTAAGAGGTTGCTCCAATCAATCAAACTGAGGTCTCGCTCAAGGTGCTCCAATACAATATCCTTGTAAGGCCTATAGGTGACCCAAAGAGGCCTCGCTTTCTCCTTTTTCATTTTGAACTCGGCCAGAAGTAATGCGTGACTACCCAGGTCTGGGGAGTGTCTCACAACAACCCGGTGTGCCCGCAAGTCCGTACAGATTAAGTCAATTAGTGTGCTGCTGTGATCTGTAAAATGGGTTGGCTCAGTTATCAACTGATTGAGGTTCAGGCCGCGTATACACTGCTCGAGATCTCTACTCCTGCCACTAGTAGTATCAAGCAGGTTAATGTTGAAGTCTCCCATAATTATAAGCCCGTCCGCCCCAGCGAAACAAGCAACAGATTCTGTCAGTGCCTCAAGGAACACGTCAGGATCAAGCCAAGGAGGTCTATAGGCCGTGCCGATGACTATAACCTTACTCAGTAGACGCACGGAGATCCACATCTGCTCCACCAATATTGCAGAGCAAGGATGGGTACACACCTTTACATTTAGACCTTTCCGTATGTAGAACCCTACACCACCTCCCCGGCCACCCCTTATGTGATCTGGTCTAGGGACGTGCCTTAGTCTATAGCCGGCCAGTTTAGGTGCCCTGTCCTCCTCGCCAGTCCTCAGCCATGTCTCATTAATGGCTATTATGTCAGGAGACAAGTCATCCACCGCCACAATCAGCTCCTCATGCTTAGTGCTCAAAGACCCAGCATTAAAAAAACCCACCAATAAATTATCTAACCCCAGGCCTGTGAGAAATGCGAGTTATATAAAAACCAGATAATGTTAGAGGTGCAATGATTATTAAACATGTCAAAGAATATTATCATTAGTGCATTCATATTAATAAATTGTAATAAATTCGATTTGTGAGAAATTGATAAGATCATAATGTAATAATAATTGTAAACCAATAAAATAGAGTCAATGTCAATGTATTGATAGCAATGTAATGGCAGCAATAATAATAACAAAATTATACAGTTAATATAGAACCAACAGCTGTGTTCAATTGAGTTAATGCTCTGACTACCTGACAAACAAATCCACTTCATTACACAGGTGAGCAGATATACAGGAATTTGATATACTTTATAAAAAAATTGACAAAAATTAATTAATATTATGTGTACATTGCAGAGAGCCGCTAGTCATTGTGCTGCGAGGCCGAACACCCTACCAATGTCGTCCATCGAACGCAGCTGAAAGACCTGGGAACCGTCACCTCTGCGCGCGAAGATGCGTCCCCTCCTCGTCCAGGAGTACTTCCACTGGAGGCGACGGCACTCCTCGCGCACCCTGTGGAAGAGCTGACGGTTGGAGCGCGTCAGGCGCTCATTCACGAAGACCCGACGCCCGCCCTCCGCCGCGACGCCACGCCGCACGCGCGCCGCCTGCAGCAGCTCGTCGCGCAGCTGGCGGCGCGCCAGGCGGACCACGACGCGGCGCGGCCTGGCGCCGCCCGACTCGCCCGGCGGCGCGCCCACTCGCTCCGCGAACACCACGTCGCGCCCCTCCATGGACACGCCGAAGCGGCTGGCGAGCGCGAGGACACTGTGGAGGACGGTTTCCCCCTTCTCCTCCGGGAGGTGACCGATTTCGAGGTCAGAGATTAGTGCCTCCTGGTCCCGCTCGTTGAGCTCCAGTTTGAGCTCAGCTATGGTCCTCTCCATCCGCTGGACGGTTTCCGACCCGGGCCCCGGGCCGGCCTGCGCCTGTTGCCGGTCCGCAGCGTCCAGCCTCTGCTCGATGTCCACCAGGCGCCCGTCGACAGTGTCCGCCCTCTACTCGATCTTCACGACTCTGCCGGTCAGCTCGGATATCTCCGACTTCATCGTGTCAATCTGCGCTCTCAAACATCTAAATTCGTCGTGCATCTCTTCGCGAAGTTGCCGAATCTCCATGACGAGGGCCTGTACATCGGACACCTCCAGCGTCATGTTGTGCGCAGTATCATCAAGGCTCCGCCGCGCGCCCCACTCCAGCATGGAGGCGTCGAGGCTGCCAGGGCTAAAGGTGGTGGCAACCCTGCGCATCGTGACGCCTTCCGCAGCGGCCCTGACTGGCGTGTCAGAGTTGTCCCTCTTCGGCTGCCTGCTTACACAAGTCACACATCTCCACGCGGCCCTCCGCTCATCAACTAGGGTACCGTGGAACCGCTCCTCTGTAATACCAGCGCATTGCAGATCGAAGTATTCCTTACAGAGGCAGCACATCAGCCATCTACGCCTGTCTTCAATTTTCTTGAAGCAACCGCCACACACTTTCCTAGTTTTAGGCATATTTGGCGAGTATTGAAAACGTAAGCAAACAAAACAAAAACAACTATGTTTTGATGTATCTTCAATTTATCTGACTCACATGGCTTCACCCACGTATTATTCATTGTAAATCGTCTTTAGTACTTAATATTGGATATTGGATATAAATAACTA